GTTGATTTTGCCTACAATTTTGTTTTCGACGTGTTTGGGTTCGTGCTGGGGAAGTTTCGTACTTTCTTATGCTTTGTAGTGAATTGAATCACAATATTCTAATACGAAAATGAAAACTTCTTTAATGTGCTTGACATGCTTGATTCGGCACACTTCTCAATTGGGTCATTTTTCCGACTGAAGTATTTGGGTGATTTTCATTGCAGGTTCTTTGGCCAAAGGGTGGTGGCCTGTATTGAATAGAGCTTATCAGAAACCCTTGCTTTGCCTTCATCCATACAAATTGCAGTAGAAGGGTGTTGTACTTCAAAAGTACATAGCAGCACAAGTCTTCGCCATATTGCGGGTGATTTAGGATAATCAGAATACATTCTTCTCATAAAAAAATTCAGTCTGTTGAGATCACTATAGTTGCTGTGTTAATCACTATTCATTAGTTGCGACATGATAATAAAGTAAAAAGCTTGTAGGCATGTTTATTCTTTGATCTTATGTGTTTTGGGAAAGCACGCATTTGGTTATGTGGCTTTTCAATTTTATTATCGTCTAATTGCTCTGTTTTTCTATATTCGCTTGCTCTGTTTATGTATGTGTGTGAAATAGTTGGAACACGTTCTCTTTGGTTTGTCTAATATAAGCGAGGAATAATGAGTATACTAATTGTGATGTTGCTACGATACACTTATTTGATATCTGGATGATTCCGTCATCATAAGGTTGCTGTTTGTTTGGAGATTTTTGTATAGTCTTGTAGGATGGGCAGTTGAATGCTGCAATTTTTTGATGGATAGTGGAGACTTGGGTTTTGGGGTTTAAAATTCCAATTGACACATTATTAATTTGATTAACATTTCTATGTATGAACTCGTCTTTACCCCTTATGTTGAACTCATAACGTGCAATCATGAACTTGTTACGATTTAGAGGCGTATGAATCAGTGATAGTGGCGAGAGGTGGTCAAATTAGATTCGTGGAAGCAATAAGCAAGAAGAAGAGGGAGAGAAAATCGTGAAGTGAGATCATGAGCCGGGCTTTTCATCGAAAAGAAATTGGATTGTAAATTGGTTGAATATATGCTTTTGAACCTAGAAGCTGGTTTTATGAATTTATTATTATAATTATTGACTTTATTATTTTATATTTGTGCACTTCTTTATGGGTATTAGAATTGCATAATCGGCAATTAAAATTAAAAAATATTGTATGAAATAATGTATTATTAAACGGGTGTAAACCGATATATTAAGATCTCATTTATATTTAATTCAAAACTAAAACTCAAATCCATTTCAAGATTTGTGAAAAAATAAAAGAAAGAAAAATAAAAAATAAAAGAATAAAAAATAATTTTTAAAATTATAAAAATTATCCACTAATTAGCAATATAATTTTTTTTAAATCATAAAAAATGAATTTTTTTATATTAGGTCAAATATAGAATTGTTTTAGCAGTACGAATTGGGTCGGATATGAGTCAAGAAAATTGTATTGTGCATAAATGGGTCATAAACAATGGACTCTTAATTTGAATCATTTATGATCCGATCAAAATTCGACCGATCAAGCTTTCATTTGTGAGGTCTAGTCCAGACTCCAAGCCCACAAAACAATCACATGCAGGCCCGAGATAAACCTGTCAAAATGGCTTTCATTCGGACTCTTATGAACCCACATTTGTTTAAATGGGTCATTAATAGGTCATTCTTTTTTTTTTTACTGGATCAGCCTTAATGGGTTTTAAACCGGAAACAAAACAAAAAAAGTAGGTTTTTATTTCTGACCAAAAATGAGAATCATTTCGAGAGAACTCTTTTTCAAAACACATGTTCATCCGGAAGTCACGATCTTTGAGGTGGGAAAAAAAGCAAAAATCAAAATTTCAAAACTTCAGAGAATGGTTTAGAATCTTAGATACCCACTTTGAACGAAATTTAAATTTTTTAGGTTCGAAAAAATAAAAAATAAAAAATTTCACAAAATGGCTTAGAATACCTGCATACCACCCACTTGAAATGAAATTTAATTTTTTTTAGATGCAAAAAAAATAATCAAAAAATCTAAAATTTTAAAACTTCATAGAATGTCTTAGAATACTTGTGGCCACCTAATTTGAGAGAAATTTAATTTTTTTAGGTAAAAAAAATTAAAAAAAGCAAAAATAAAAAAAAAAACTTCAAAGAATAGATTGGCTACAGAATACATGCTGCTATCCACTTTTAATAAATTTAAATTTTTTTGGTGCCGAAAAAAATTAAAAAAATAAAAATTTCAAAACTTCACAGAAGAATTAGCAATACCGTTGCCACCCACTTTGAAAATAAATTTAATTATTTTTAGATGCCAAAAAAATAAAAATAAGCAAAAAAGCAAAAATTTGAAAACTTCAAGAACTGCTTAAAATACCTACATGACCACCCACTTTGAGCGAAATTTTATTTTTTTAGGTGCCTAAAAAATAAAAAAAAAAGTAAAAATCAAAAATTTTAAAACTTCAAGAATGGTTTAGAATACCTGTGCCATCCACTTTGAAGCGAAATTTAAATTTTTTTAGGTGCTTAGAAAAAATAAAAAAATAAAAAATTTCAAAACTTCATGAGTGCTTGTAATACCTGTGGCCACCCACTTTGAGCGAAATTTAATTTTTTAGGTGCTCTGAAAAAATAAAAATAAGCAAAAAACAAAAATTTCAAAACTTGCTGAATACGGCTTAGAATATAGTGCGCCACCAACTTTCAATGAAATTTATTTTTTTATGTGCTGAAAAAAAAGAAAAAATCAAAAATCAAAAATTTCAAAACTTCACAGAATTGGCTTAGAATACATGTGTAGCCATCCACTTTGAGTGAAATTTAATTTTCTTTCTATGTCGAAAAAAATTAAAAAATCAAAAAAAAACCAAAAATACCATTTGGGCACCTAAAAAAATTAAATTTACTCAAAGTGGGTGGCTAGAGGCATTCTAAGTCATTCTGAAGTTTTAAAATTTTTGATTTTTTTATGTTTTTATTTTTTTCGTGCACCTAAAAATTTAAATTTCACTCAAAGTGGGTGGCCACAGATATTCGAAGTCATTCCATGAGTTTTGAAATTTTTGATTTTTGCTTTTTCTTCACCTCAAAAATAAAATTTCACTCAAAGTGGGTGGCGCTAAGGTACTCTAAACTATTATGTGAAGTTTTGAAATTTTGAATTTTTTGGGCACCTTAAAAATTTAAATTTCACTCAAAGTGGGTGGCCACATACGTATTCTAAACTATTATGTGAAGTTTTGAAATTTTGATTTTTTGATTTTTGGGCACCTAAAATATTTAAATTTCACTAAAAGTGATGAGTGGCCACAGTATTTTAAGCCATTCTATTGAAGTTTTGAAATTTTTGATTTTGATTTTTTTGAAAAATTCAACAAATTTCCTATTTTCCGAAATCTTAATTTTTTTATTTTTGAAATTGTGATGAATTTTTCTAGAATTTTTCAATTTTTTTTGGATTTTTTGAATTTTTTTTGAGATTTTTAAGAATTTTTGGATTTTCTAATTATTTTTATTAGTTTCTATGATAAACTTATTTGATATCTGGATGATTCCGTTATCATAAGGTTGCCATTTGTTTGGAGATTTTTGTATAGTCTTGTACGATGGGCAGTTGGATGCTGCAATTTTTTGATAGATAGTGGAGAAATAGATTTGGCAAGAATGGAAATAAGAAGTAGAAAAAATCTACTTCTTTGTTCCTGTGAAATAGAAATAGAAATAGAAGGTCCAGCCTCTCAAGTCGCGACCTTAGCCTCCTCCATCCTCCGTCATGCCCGTAAACCGTCTCAAAGCACTCGGTCTAGGTCCATTCTCACGGAAATAATAAAAAATTATAAAAATTAATTAAATTATAAAAAATGAAAAATTCCAAAAATTCATAAAAATCAGAAAATTCTCAGAAAATCCATAAAAATCGAAAAACTCATAAAACCCATAAAAATTTGAAAAATCCCGAAATTGAAAAAATTAAAAAAAATTCATAAAAAGCTTTCTGGAAAAAAAAAAGAGACAAATTTCGGGAAACTGAAAAGTTTTAATAAAATTTTCCCCAAAAAAAATAAAAATAAAAAATTTACATAATGGCTTAGAATAAATTAAAAAATTCCGAAAATTCATAAAAATTAGAAAAATTTCAGAAAAATCCCATAAAAAATTAGAAAATTTAAAAATTCCCAAAACTCATATAAATCAAAAAATTCTCAGAAAATCCATAAAAATCAGAAAACTCAGAAAACCTTTAAATATTTGCAAAATTCGAAATTGAAAAAATTAAAAAATTTCATAAAAAAATTTTCGGAAAAATAAAAAAACAAGATTTAGGAAAGTAAAAAATTTTAATAAATTTTACCCCAAAAAATATTAAAAATTCACATAATGGCTTAGAATACCCGCGCCACCAACTTTGGATGAAATTTAAACTTTTAAGGTGCCCAAGTGGTATTTTTGAAGATTCCTTAGTTTAGGGATTAAAAGGGGTTTTAAACCCCTAAAAAGGATTAGACAAACTAATAAATCATGCTTATTGGTTTTTTTCACTTATAACTTGTACTTATAGTTAAATAAAAGATATAGATTTGAATGCAAAAAATTGGGAATAGAAATTTTGTGTAGTTACCAAACGCATTTCTGTTCTTTTTCTATTTCAGGAATAAAAATTTTGTGCAGTTACCAAACAAATTTATGTTCTAGAAATAGAATTTTTTGTGCGCTTACCAAACGCATTATTTTACTCGAAACTCTTCCGGAAATAGAAATAGAAAACTATTTCGAAAGAAATTATTCCCGTAAATGTAAACGTTACCATACGCACCCTTATCAAACGTTTTTATTTCATGAAATAGAAATTTTTACATACGTTATCAAACCAATTCTATTCTGTAAATAAATTTTTGGCCGTTATCAAACGTTTTTTCTCAAACTCATTCTCGGAATCGAAATAAAAATCTATTTCTATTTTGGTGAATCAAGAAGAATGCAACCCACCGCATGAAACTGTAAATCTCAGAAACGGAAGCTGCTTTCGAGGATTGTGGATGAGGACCGTGACGTCGTTTTTGGGAAAATGAAGTGGCGCTCTTACCACTTTCTAGCCGAACCCCAGTGGAAGAACAAGCACGAGGGAGTCAGACGCAGGTGCTTCCGTGTAAATGCGTGTAAAGAGATGCTGGCCGTGACCCAGAAACGTAACGGGAGTGAGTGACCCGTGTGCCATCAGTTTTGCGAAGGTGGTACTTGGGATTTCGGGCGAAGCTCCTGATCGGAGAGAATCCTTCTTCTCGCGCACGCCCGGTTCGATTTCTCTCGTTCTTTGTCTGTAGCAGCCATGAATTCGCGCTTACTCTTGAGGCAAGCGAGGATCGGAGGCCCGAAGAGCGCTCTGAGTTGGCTCAGTTCCTTCCATCTATCGAGGCAATCTTTTCCTTCCTTGTTTCGTTCTTGTTATGTTGGTTTTCAGTTCTTGGGTTGGTCGTATGTTTGACTATCGGTCGATTCCCTTTGTGGGGTTGGATTCGTCTACGGTTTCTTGACTTTGTTTGACGAGTTCTTGCAGTAATTGAGAGTGGGGTCTCTCTCGCTTTAGTAGTAATCTCTGTTTCTTGAAATTTTATCTCACGTTTGCTTTGTTGTTGCTTGCCACGTAATAGGCTTTGTTTTCTTCTTGTTTCGTGTAAGAAATACGAATGATATTTGACAACTTGGATTAACATTGTTGTACAAGAGCATTTTATTCATGATTTTTGCTTTTATTCATGATTTGCGGATAAAGGATCATGAATTATGGGTTTCTGCATCGAGATATTCCAATGCTATTTCTGTTCTGATGTCTGTGTAAGTAAATTGTCTTGTTCCATTGGATGGCATGATGTTGGTTCCTAAATGCATGTAGTCCTGTATTATAAGTACTGCAACGTCACATCCCCCAGAAATTCCACAAAATTACTTTCGATTTTGGATTAAAGCTGATTTCCTGAGTTTCTCATGTGCGGATGTTATTGCTTTTCCACAGCAGATCTCTCCATTCTTTACCTTTCGCGACAGTAAATGCGGAGGAAATATCAGGCTCACAACCTGCTGAAGTAGAAAATTTTGGTAGGTAGTAATACTTGGACTTCGTCTCATTGTCACTCACATATCCGTCAAAAGAGTTTTGCCTTTTCTCTAAGGAATGAAGCATGAAGCAAATCCACCCTCAATGAAATAAGGCAATTGCCATTTGTCTTTAGTCACATGGTACATTTTCTGGATTTGTGTGGCCATGCTTTAGCAATGAACTAATACATCTTCCTTTACCCTTGACTAATTGGATCTTTTTCAGCTGACCTTTCTTTGAATGTTTGGCTTATTGCTTACCACTTGCTGTCTAATGTAGAATTTCATTACCTTTAGTGCAGGGTTACTGGACCAAATCGAAAAATTGGAACGAGATTTTGGATCCTCTAAATGGAGAACCTTTCATTAAAGTTGCTGAGGTGGATGAAACAGAAATACAGGTCCACACTTCTATCTTATTGTTCTGGTTTTGTATTACTTCCTTTTCTTGCTGAAAATCAACTCTCTTGACAAAGCAAATCAGGTGAAAGTGTGTCACTTGTTGCTTGTTCTGGTATAAACTCTGACTTGAACCAGACTTTCACATATCCTTGTTGTTTACTTTCAAACATGACTTTGCCAGTTTTGTGTCGTCCGCAGTCCCCACACTCTCTCATGGATACAAGTCCAACCACGGAGACGTAAATAAGTTGCTTTCATACCATACATATGGCATTTTTCTTACCGTATTGAGCTGGTTGTGCAGCCATTTGTGGAGAGCTTACTTAAGTGCCCGAAACATGGTTTACACAATCCCTTTAAAGCACTGGAGAGGTACGCTCTGCTCGTCCTGTTTACAATTCTAATTTTTGGTTTGCCATAAAAAAACAGATGGTTTTGGAGAGGCATTGCACTGAAAATCAACAGAAAATGTTATTGAAGTTCTTTCCTGTTTTAACTGTTTATTTGGGAACTGAGAGTAGAGTGTTAAGAAGGTTGGTGACTGTTTGTTTGGCACAGGTATCTTTTGTATGGAGATATATCAGCTAAAGCAGCTCACATGCTTGCGCTGCCAAAGGTTCCATTTTGTTGATATATTGCTAACAAGTTTTTGAGATATCAATTCCTGTAGAGTGATCTTAATGTGAGAGTTGTACTTATGACTTCAGGTCTCTGATTTCTTTACCCGTTTAATACAAAGAGTTGTGCCAAAGAGCTACCAGCAGGCTTTTGGTGAAGTTCACGTTACACAGAAGTTTCTGGAGAATTTTTCTGGGGATCAGGTAGGATTTGACCAATTCTTTTGCTCATTAACATAGCAGGTAGAGCATAACTTTTAATGCAGAACAAAACCTTATAATGCCTTAATTTCTGCTGAAATATCTAACCTTTGCCCTTCTTTAGTTACCTTTCTAATCCTTTTCTGTTTGACCTGCCAAAATCTTGAACAATAGATGAGAGTCATATTAGATTTCTCATACATAAGTTCCTGATTTCTCTGCAGCTGAAGACATGTAGTATATGTCACTGAAGTCATTTTAGAACTCAAAAACACTCTCTTCTAGTTATATCTAAGTTTGTCCTTTCCTTTTTTTTTTCCTCCCGTCAGGTTCGTTTCCTAGCAAGGTCCTTTGGGGTACCTGGAAATCACCTTGGACAGCAAAGTCATGGTTTCCGCTGGCCATATGGCCCTGTAAGGAATTTTTCTTCTGTCATCTACTTTCATCTTTCTCAATAAAATAGTCTTGTCTAGTGGATTGTGTGGTTTGAGATAGCTTTACAGTGGACTGCGGTGATAATTTTTGGTGTAAGTAGTAGGAATTGCATCATCAATAATGGTTAACTGGAAATGATTATTTAGCCACAAGTACTTGAGTAATGCATTCAATATAGATAAAATTCCTGAGCTCATTTTCCCAATTAGAAGCATCTAGCACAGTCAAGATCTGAGAGACAAACGTGCATGCATGTGCACATACACGGCTCATGGACATTTGCATGGTCCTTTTCTTTCTCAAAGTGCTGAATTTATATCTGAGCTCCAGTGACTCTTAAGAAGGAAAAGGGTTCTTATGAGGTGTCTGGTTGGTGAAGTTTAAGTGTCGCTTCCAGCACATGAAACATTTATTCGATCATCAAGAATATCGTAGTATCTTCACTTTGACAATGAGACTATTCATTATAAGCAATTCTTAATGTGCCTGTAGGTTGCCATTGTCACTCCCTTTAACTTCCCGCTAGAGATCCCTGTTCTGCAGTTGATGGGTGCACTCTATATGGGCAACAAACCTGTTCTTAAAGTTGACAGCAAGGTAAGTTGATCTCATGCTAATGGATATTGCTGTAATAAGGTCAAACAATCCAACGAGATGAATTTATTGATTTGAAACTACTAATTGGGGGAATTCACATAATATTAAAATTACGGTCTACCCAAGTTCGAGCGAACTCTGTCTGTCTGTGTAGGAGGAGTGGGGCCAAGGGGATAGGGAAGTAGCGGGAGCATTGGGGGACTGGCCTGATTATGAATCCTGTCAATATATGTTTTTGCTTTTGTTTCTTCTTTGACGCGATGCTTTGTTAAAATGTGTTCAACGGGATTTATTTTGTTAGGTGAGTATTGTTATGGAGCAAATGATGCGATTGCTTCATCACTGTGGGCTACCGGTGGAAGATGTTGACTTCATAAATTCTGATGGAAAGGCAATGAACAGGCTATTATTAGAGGTTAGTATGATATTCTCAGAAAAGTGCTTCATGCCTCAGATTCAGAGTGCTTTTTATGCCTGAATCCATATATAATTAGTGTGAGACCAGAGATGACTTTCTGCAGCATGCAGACGGAAAGTATGCTGATGCTGTCTCTTGGTCATATCTCGTTGTGTGAGGGAATGTTTTCCATTGATCTCAGTCATGATGTAATGATAGAGGTGAAGGCACCAAAAGTGGACTTAATTATCAAGCTAATATGGAAATGGATACTTCTGGAAATCGATATTTCTGTCCGTGCTCTTCATTTCTTGGTCTAGATAAGAAGGAAAAAGCTGACAGCATTACTAATAGAATTCTGACAAAGAGGGTTGGTTATACTGATTGGCTTGTCATGAATACAAAATCCTTTAATGACTGATGACGGAATTAGGGTTTATAATAATTTAATTCCATGCTCTTAGAAATGTAAATGGTCGACTTTTTCCCTTGCGTTGATTCTATAGGCAAATCCCCGCATGACTCTTTTCACTGGTAGCTCGAGAGTAGCTGAAAAGTTGGCAACTGATCTGAAGGGTCGCATAAAGTTGGAAGACGCAGGGTTTGACTGGAAAGTTCTGGGGCCTGATGTACAAGAGGTTGAAGCAAGCTGTTGAAATATTCAGTGATGGAACTTCTATTATACAAACAGTCTGCTTACTTTGTTTCGTTGCTTTTTGGAAGGTGGACTATGTAGCATGGGTTTGTGATCAGGATGCATATGCATGTAGCGGTCAGAAATGCTCTGCTCAGTCAATACTTTTTATGCATGAGGTTAGTTTTTCGGATAATTGTTCTCATATAATGGGGCGATTATACACTTGGAGGTGCACATACTCAAGCACACTGAATAGAAACGAGAACCCTCATCATTTACTTCAGACATGCTTTTGATACACTTGTGCATCTTGTTGAGAAAATTTGTGTGTGTGGATAAAGTGGTATTGAAATTCGGAGTTTGGCCAGGCTGTCATATTACTCTTGCTTCATTTGGCTTTTATGCAGAACTGGTCTAAATCTTCACTTATATCGAAAATGAAAGTTCTTGCCCAAAGACGGAAGTTAGAGGATTTAACGATTGGCCCTGTCCTCACTGTAAGTATGATCGGTGTGCTTTTATGGAGAATGATCTTTTCTCCGTTGATTAAGAGTATGTGTCTGTTTTCCTTATGGAATGACACTAATTAATTGATCATCCTATCGGCCTTTGTTTCTGGCGTAGTTTAAATCAATAAAATAAGACTGGAATTTTGGAATTAGGAACTTGGCATGCTGATTTTAGCGAAATCAGATGGATGAATCCACTCAAATTAGATTGTGATGTTTGGATCTAAGTTTTTGACATGTCAGCTATTCTGATATATATTTATACAACCTCCTTCATGTTCATCAGTATATCGTTTATTGATTAAATTCCTTTCTTTGTTGCAGTTTACGACCGGACAAATGTTGGATCACATGAGTAACTTGCTTCGCATACCAGGTTCAAAGCTGCTCTTTGGCGGCGAACCTTTAGAGAATCATTCTATACCACATATATATGGTGCCCTAAAGCCAACAGCAGTCTATGTTCCGATTGATGAAATTTTGAAGGATCAAAACTTTGAGCTTGTCACGAGAGAAATATTCGGACCATTCCAGGTATTCAGCAAAAGAATTCTATGTATGAATTAATTTGACTGAAATAGTCTGCTTCTCTTTGGGCCAGTAATAGTCTGGTTCACTTGTCTATTCGACATTTCTAGTCGGATTTATTTGGAGAAATCTTGGGAAAAAGGGTGCTGCTTTGTTAGGTTAACTTATTGATCGAAAAATAGACATTCCTAGTGGATCTATTGGGATGCGTAGTGGTATCATTGTTTTCCGCATATCTTTATTAAGTGACACGCAATATACGTAGTTTAACGCTAAGATTATATATGGCCACTCCTGTCGTTGCATAAGTTTGAATGAGAAAAACATATTTGCCAGTGCTACTGGTTGTCCAATTTTTAATGTCTCTAACGCTCATCATTCGTTGAAGGTTGTCACCGAGTATAAGGATGATCAACTGCCGAAGATTCTCGATGCTCTTGAGCGGATGCACGCACATTTGACGGCAGCTGTGGTTTCAAACGATCCCCTCTTTCTTCAGGCAAGTTTCTGTCCCTAATCTTATACTCCTCAACTTCATACGCTTTTGTTTTCTTCTTATTGATTCAAAAAATATTTTTGATAATGCTTGAAAACCCTCCTTTGTTGCCCCCTTTGGTCACTGATCTTGTATGCCCGTCTCTAGTTTGATTTGCGAAAGCCGTTTTGCAGGAAGTTATTGGAAAAACAGTAAATGGGACTACATATGCTGGACTGAGGGCAAGAACAACCGGAGCTCCTCAAAATCACTGGTAGACAGAAAATTGAATCCACGGAACATTTTTCGCGATTCAGTTGACAACTTAAAAACTCTGCACGCTGATACAGATAACTGATCATATGTTTTGCTTCAGGTTTGGGCCTGCCGGAGACCCGAGGGGTGCAGGCATCGGTACCCCGGAAGCGATACAGCTCGTGTGGTCTTGCCACAGGGAGATCATATACGACATCGGTCCGCTGCCAAAACACTGGGAAGTCCCGCCATCTACCTGATTTTCGCTGCAAGAAAGAAGAGATAAGTGCACGAGGAACCGTGCACCGAGAACATCTCCTCGAATACTTGGTACGGCTGAGGAATGTCCTTTGGACCCCTTCAGTTTTCTCTCTTACTCAGGATAGGAAGTAGTTTAAGTCGGCGCCACAGGTAACATTCGATAATATCTGCTGATAACTGTAAAAGTTGGAGACGACGCCCTGAGAAATGGAAGCATTCTGCTATATCGGGGGTGTGCGATTGCGTACGGATCGAATATCCGCTTAACGGGGTTGTGGTTGTGGCTGCTCTTTGATGATTGAACTGGGCAGAAATCCAATTTGTGCTCCTCTGCTAAGATTAAGGTTTGGGTAAGCATTCTGCCCATCGTGGTTTGAACTTCAATCCATACATGTACTCTAATCTCAGAAGTAGACAAACGTGAAATTGACAAATCCGAAAGCCGATCGGGGTAGACCCGCGATAGAACAGATCGCGAGCCCATCGATCCGCGGGCTTGCTTAAGCCGAACGGGCGTGACAACTTGTTCGGATAGGTGCCAAATATGCTTAGCTCTTAAAATCCGGCCTGATCGGAGTAGAGAGAATGCGTTGTTCTAATTTTCCCGTTGACGGGTCGACCTGGTTAGCAAATTCGATTCCATCTCGTCTCATGCTCGAGCTAACCCGATCCCGATCACGTCAAACGATTGCCTCCAATCCATATCAGGAAAAGAAATCGACCGACAGAATTGAGCTGGCCTTTTGACAGATATCAATCGTTTATATAATTAATCCTTTAGCAGTTTTCGGCCCGGTCCGTTTTTCTAAAATGCTTAATCGGCCCAATTCTCCAATGTACTACCCGAGTTCCATTGCTGCCATAGTGAGGACCTTCAATGAAAATAGGGAAAATACAATAAAAAACCTTAGTTATGCATGGTATAACACAAATACCCTAAAAATTTTTCTTATATTACCAAGTAAACCGTGTAATGCATATATCCCCCGTCACGATTTCTTCAAAAACTACCGTAAAAAATCAGACGTGATAATTCGTCCATCGCCAACTATCCTACATGTCACAGCTGGCTATCTAACGAGACTATTTACTGTTCATCATTTTTTAACTCACGGTCACTTGGGCAAAGCTCCTCCAACTCTCGTCTGTCGCTACCCATTGCCCTTGAACCTCTGGTGGCGTTCGTCAACATTTACTCAACTACCCACTATGGGCCTGTTTGGTTCGACTTTGAAAATGCTACTTGGGGGAATGCAAATACCTTTGGGTGAAAGCCTATTGGGGAAATGCAAATGGTGTTTGGTAAAAATATTTTGCAAAGCTACTTTGGCCAAAATATAGTGTTTGGTGAATTTTTTTTGCAAATGGACTTTGAGAATTATCTTATTTATTAAAAAAAAAAAACAAACCTATCAATCGTTTATATAATTAGATCCTTTCGCAGTTTTCGGCCCGGTCCGTTTTTCTACAATGCTTAATCGGCCCAATTCTCCAATGTACTACCCGAGTTCCATAGCCACCATAGTGAGGACCTTCAATAAAAATAGGGAAAATACCACAAAAACTTTAGTTATGCATGGTATAACACAAATACCCTAAAAATTTTCTTATATTACAAGTAAAGTAAATCGTAATACATCCTGTCATGATTTCTTCTGGAATGCGTAAGTAAAATCAGACGCGATAATATTCATCGCCAATTATCCTACATACACGGCTGCAAATCTATCTAACGGTATTAATTTACTATCCATCATTTTTAAACTCGGGTCACTTGGGCAAAGCTCCTCCAACTCTCGTCTGTTGCTATCCATTGCTGCCTGAATCTCTAGTGGCGTTCGTCAACACTTGCTCAACTACCCACTAGGTGGTCGTTGCTTGCTCTAAATTAAGATTTTAGATTTGCGCAAGTGTATTAGGAGGGGCGAGTCCCTTGAAGATGATGATCTAACGGCTGCGACCTTCAAAACCAGATCTGGCCATGATGGCTGTGAGCTTTGAGGTCAAATCTAGATTCAAAGCTCCCAAACCCCATGGCCGCTCGAGCTCGGAGTTTGGCGTGAGGGTCTACAACATGGAGGGCGGCTCGGGAGCTAACGAGAGTCTTGAGCGATTAGAGGTGGTGGGGGGTTGAAAATATTGGCGTGCAAGATAATCTCCAAGCTCAAGCTTGGCCACGCCGATCAAGCTCGACACCCTCTGGGTCAAGCTTCGCTTGCATGCGGTGGTTGCTGGGACAGCCAGCGATGGTCAGAACGACGGTGGCATCCCGACCATCTGCAATCTCTCCCTCCTCTCATTTGATTTTTCTTTTTGGCTTTTTTAGATTTTATTTTTGTTAATCTTTTTAGGATGCGTAGCGCCACATTAGTGTCACTTTTTCTTAAAAAATATTAATAACGCCACATCATATTCATGTCAAAATTCTATTGCAACCTTAGACAGAATATATGTCATACTTGTATAAATTTGGAGCTTTTAGCGATACAAAAAAAGTTTGGTGTATTTGTTGTATAGTAGCATAGTTTGAGATTTTTTGTGGCATTTTTTTAAATAAAATTTGGATTAATAATATGAAAAATTCCAAATTGGTACAAAACCCAAAATGACACATTTATGACAAATTTATCATTCTGTTCGTTTTGCTAAATTTGATTGATACTACGAAAAACTACAAACTGATATACTCATCTGTGATAAATGAAGGGTAAAACTTCAAACCGGTACACTCGTCAACTGTCACATGCCATCCAACTTAACAATTTTATGGTAAAATTTAACAGATACTAACGGAAAGTAAATTTGTTATAAGTGTACAGGTTTAGGATTTTTGGTGGTCAAAAAATTAGTTTTGGGCAAATTTATCATAGGTTACGAGGTTTGGCGTTTGTGGTGGATTGGTTAATATCATAAAGGGATAATGGCACAAACAGTCCATGAACTTTGGCACATTGTTCATAAAATTTTAATTCGTTCAAGTTTAGCTTAATGTTCAATGTGATCCTTAAACTTTTAATTTGTTCAACGTGATCCTTGAACTTTTGGTTCATACAGTTCGGAAATCACGTTAAATAAATTAAATGTAAACTTTGAAGATTATATTGAACGAATTAAAGTTTATAGGGCTAAAGTTTACGAACTATTTGTATAATTTTCTCCTAACATGAATGAGAAAACAATCCGACGGTCGAGATCTGTCGACCTCTGGTTCCACAGAGACTTCTGTTCCCCCAGACCAGATCTTCCCTCGTCCGCGCCAGAACCAGAAACCCCCGGTCTTCTTCTCTCTTCGCTCTGCCGCTCCTCTCAGAAACCCTAGTATCTCTCTCTCTCTAGGAGAAGAAGAAGTCTATGCAAATACCCACACTCTTCCTCGACGATGGATCACGATCACCACGGATGGCGTCCCGCGCCAGCTCCAGGCAACGCCTGCCCCGTCTGCTCCGCCCCGCATCTCCCCTTCTGCCCTCCGCCGCCGCCGCCTCCCTCTTTCAATCCGAGCCTCCCCGGGTTCCCCGACCGTCACCACCTCAACGGGTACCAACCCGTTGCCCCGCATCACGCTCAGGGGTTCGGTGATCCGAGGAATCACTGGCGCGGGTACCCGAATCGCGGCAGCGACGATCTCGGGCAGCACCCGAATCGGTTCCGGCAGGATGGTCTCGGGCCGAGGCCGAATGGCTACGGCGGCGCCAACGGGTTCGTCGGCGAGGGCGAGAGGAGCTACAAGAAGATGAGAGTGGCGGAGTTGAGTGATCCGAGTTTGGGTGGTTACGCCAATGGGAATCAGGATGCTTTTCCTAGGGCTTCGTTTGACGACGAGCGTCGATTGAGGCTGATTCGGGATCACGGGGCGCCTTCGGGAGCGAACGCGGGGTATGGTTTCGATGGTATCAGGGATGGGACAGGCGAATTGGCCGCGAAAAGTATGCAGAAGAGCTATGGGAATGGGAATGTCAGGTTCGTTCGCGGGGAAGCCGACGGCGAACAGCAATACTATCTGCAGAGAAGTGGGAATGAGTATCAGGCCGAAGTTCCGGGCATGAACATAATGTATCGTGGCCAGGGCGGCGGCGTTGCGAGGGACGATTACGGTCGTAACTATCAGCCACCGCATCCACCTCAGGCAATTCGATCAGGGCAGGGTCAAAATAACTTGACACATGCCGGGATAAGAGAGGGGAACCAGCCATTTCATGCCAATCATGGTCCAGTTGGGTATCAGAATTTCCCTGGGATGGCTCCATATGGTGCTCCGAGCTTAGGCGCCGGAGGAGGTTACCCGCCGCATCCTGCCGGGCCTGGCATGAACGTCGCTCACCCTCCTCTCCCTCCGTCTCCACCGCCACCCCTGCCGCTTGATCCGACGGGTTACGCTTCATCAGAACAGAGGGCACATTCGCCATTGCCATCGGCACCATCTAGTTCTCGGTTTCCCTTGCCTTCGAGCTCTTCTAGAGTGTCTCCCCCGTATCCTCCAGCACCTGGAAATCACCACCTTCGGCACTACTACCGTGGTGGACAAACTCCAACTGTATCTGCTGGCTTTGTCCCGGAGGTATGGTTTTTATTTGTCCTTTCTTTATGTGTTTTTCAATCTTGTTAGTCCGTCTTGTGCTGATCATGTGTCCTTATCTATTGTTTGGTACTTTTGAAGGAATATAAGGCCATGCAAGGGAACTCATTGAGGCATTATGCCGGGCAGGGTCCACAGCTTCCATCACAGCAAGTGCCTTTGCAGAAGCCAAAAATTGTCGATGCTTCGCATATTTTTAAGCCACCTCATAGAATGGGTCGACCTGATCATTTTGTCATAATCCTCAGAGGGCTTCCAGGTAAAATAGATGATCTTAATTCTGCTCTTTTTACCTTTATATTAAGTGGACCGCTTTTTGAGTGTAACGGTACTAACAATCAGCCATGAATGCCTGCTTATGATTTGTCGAACTTGAAACCATGTTGTTGCTGTATGTGTTGTGGGTAGTCATATTCGAGGAGCTTTTATGCTAGATGGAAATAAATGGTGTCACTGCATGTTTTTAAGTTTCACATATGTAGTGAAATTTGTGAAAATATTTAATTGGTGAGTTCAGTAAGGGTGAAGAATGTGATGCTTTACTGATAGAGACCGGAGAATTGATTTCTCGCGTTGTCAGACTTATGTATATCTCGCAGATGTCAAATTTAACGGAAATTTGTTAACTGTTGTTTGTCAGATTGTTGGTTGTGTGGTCATTTATGTTCTCATTGATTAGTGGATTGAGACAGACCTGTGAAATTTACTAAAGTATCTGGAAAGTGTTGAGGTAGATGCTGCAGAGGCTGGGTTTAGAAATCTGTTAGCCTTGATCACTTTCATCCAGCATATGTAGATATTAATTACTGCCATGTGTTTTGGCCGAAGAAGGGAAAAAAAAATCATTGCTATGTGTCATGTACGTGATTGTATGCTGTCAACATGAAAATGTGACCAGAAGGAGGCAATTTGTCGTGCACGTACCTTCAATTGGAAGACACATTTATGGTTAATGTGTTTATTTATGCCAGGAAGTGGAAAGAGCTACTTAGCCAAGATGCTACGGGACCTTGAGGTTGGAAATGGTGGTAGTGCTCCACGAATTTATTCTATCGATGATTATTTCATGACCGAAGTTGAAAAGGTTTAAAATTTCAATAATTTTCTGATGCTATATTTGTCCTGACTTTATGTTTTGGCCTTTTTTTTATGGCATTGCATGGTTTTCTTTTTGTGAAGAACTTCATAATCTTCATTTACTTTCCAGATTGATGAAAATGGAGCTTCAAAGTCTTCAGCTGCAATCAAGGGCAAGAAGGCTGCTGTGAAAAAAGTGATGGAGTATTGTTATGAACCTGAAATGGAGGAGGTAAAGCACTAGTCTGTATGACAAAGAGGTTGTTATTTCTGGTGACGCAGAAATTGTTTAGGAAGAAGACAAGACGGTCTTAGAATTTGTCGTATGCAACCGAGAGTGTAGAAAAGTGGGCGTACGAACAAAGAGTGGAGACAAAAAAGCTTTTAGAAATAGACCAATTTGAAGCTGTTCTAGCATCTCAGTCAGGCCTCGTTCCTGACTTCTTGATAATGCTTTAAATTGTGGAACGTAGAAAATGAAATTGAATGGAGGAATACTAGTTGAAATGGATTTGGCTTGAATTTCACCTGTAAATTATATATTTGTACTGCAATCAAGAACTTTTTTTAGGATATTCCTGTTTTGCTTCATATTATTCTATCTTAAGTCATTAAAAAGGGTAGTTGATTTCTATTTGTTTCAATTTTAGGCTTACCGGTCAAGCATGCTGAAAGCATATAAAAAGACCGTCGAGGAGGGAACTTTCACCTTTGTAATTGGTATGAATATACTATTTTGGTTTATGCAGCCATAGAAATTTGGAGTTGTTTCATTTTAAGTATCTACTTCCGTTTTTTCTTTTTATGCGCCGTTGGAGGCAAATATTTATATCTCAAGCTCTATTAAGATGAACTCTAAAGATGATGGGGGCTTTGCCCTATTCTTTGATTAGATTGTTTGATGCCTGTAGTAGCAATGGAGAAATATGCGAGTGTATTCTACTGTGTCTGTGATATTGCTGGCAGAAAACTGAATTATGCTTTTACACTTAAGGGTGTTGCACCTTAAGAATTAGTTAATAATTGAAGACCTTTAAAGTTGCTCTGGTTTCATACATCTCAAAAAAGAGTTGCTAGTTCACCATCTTGCAACCAGTAATTGACAGTTTGATTGTACATTAAGCGGATGCAGTGTCAAAGCACTGCCTTCATTTTAACTAACCACCAATGCAGTTTATGGTTCGGCAATTGACCCTTTTCTTGCTGGTATGTGTGCCTGGTCTTAGTGGATGACCGCAATCTGCGGGTTGCTGATTTTGCTCAATTTTGGGCAATTGGGAAGGTATATCTTCAATCTCTTATCTCACCACCCCTGCGAGCATTTGCATTCACATGTCGTGTTTCCTTGGAATATTCTAGGGCTCCTGGTCCTTGTGTATGTGACATTTCTTGTGATTTGCCTGGATTATGTTTCCTTGTGTTCGTTGCCGTGTTCACTTAAATCACAGTTATTCTCTTGGGATTCAGTCTAGTGTCACGAGTGCTATAGTGGTCTACGTCTTACATCTTAGAGCTGGGTGTCCTAATGCAGCTCTATTCCTAATAGGACCGTTTTGAGGTCAATAAAAGGAAAAGTATTTGGTGGACTAGTTTAAGGGAGCTCTACTGATATTTCGTCAGATAATCTTGTCCTCCTTTTCCTGCTGGACTTTTGAAGTGCGCGAAGTACTGATTAAAAACATAAAGCTTCATAATTTCCCTGTCCTGATTTTCACTAATAAACAGCAGAGACCTGACAGGGCCTGGTAAAATGAGAGATTCTGATAAGAATGATTTTAATTCCCTATATTCCAGCCTCACAGGGCCTGCTCAAACAATTCTAGTTTTTTAATGTTCTAAGTTGACAGTGGAAGCTGGAGTTTTGAAACAGTATTTTCCCTGTCCAACCGCTGCTACTTTTACTGAATTTCCTTGCTCCCTCTTTCCTCTCTCACAGCTGTATTTAGATTTGCTTTTGGGGTTGGCAAATATAGTGGATGCGGAACATAAAGATTCACCTTCACTTTTTCATAAGCAATTGCGGGGGAAAGAAAAAGAATGGTGGGGGGTGGGGTGGGGGGGAAGCGGGGCGGGGGTTTTAAGGCCTTAACTCAGGACCATTGGGTCTTGCAGATGTTAGGCAACATACTTATTTTGGAGCAGCATGCCATAAATTCAAATGAACTCTTTGAAAGCAACATTTGAAATACTTGTGGGATAATGATGTCGAGAATATTTACTTGTTGGGGTCTCTCAAGCATTCTGGGTCTTTGTTTCTTTGATGATGAATGTAGATATGCAGTGTCTTAGGTAGACATGTCAAAATGTGTCATAGACCCATTTCTTAACCCATATTTAATGGGCTGGGTTATTTTATGGATTAGTTATATTCAGTAAATGAGTCATAAACAGATTTAGAATGGTAAAGCCCAAAATAATATGGGTGTTAAATAGGTGTACAACTTACTTAGACCCAACCCACCTCTATGACTTTCTCTTCACACTCTCTCGCCCTCACTTAATATCGCGCTCGCTCACTACGTGTTCTCACCTGAGGTGTTAGTTTTCCTAGATTGGGTTAAATATGGAAGTATTTGAGCAATTTGGATCGGTTCGGGTTAGGTATGAGTTACTAGATTTGTATTAAATGGAAATAGGTCAATTTGGGTGGAACCGAACCGAACCGAACCGAACCGACCCGACCCGACCGTTTGATGGGCCTAGTCTCAGGCAAACTACAGCTCAATTTATCAGTTAAGCTATCTTGGCCGACTTGTCAACTAATACTCTTCGTATGGAGAACTTAAGGGCCCGTTTGTTTACACTTAAAAAAGCAAAAAATACCTTTTTACTTTCCCACCAAAATTATGATTTAAATTGCAAAAAATTATTGAAAGATTATATGGTAATTTATGTATCAATATTTGAAGGTTGCGCAAGTTCCGGGAGTTTCGGATTTATTTAAAGTCAAAAGTGTGTAAGTTACAAGGTTTAGGTTAAGCAAAAAGTAAAAGTCAGTCGAGACAGATCTTAAGTCGTTCCTAAGGTAAAGGTGATGGCTGACATTTAGTGCAATTCGTGAGGGTTTGCAACTCTTTGCCACTTTTCCTTTGCTAATTTTGATTCTCGATGAGCATCTCTAGTAATGCTCCTAGTTTATGATCTTAGAGGTGTGAGTTGATAGACTGGGAGAGGAGAATGTGGAAGAGAGCATGATTTTGGGGAAGTGGGAAATGCTAATGCTAAAACTGAGCCCTGTTTATTTTCTGTAATAATTATAGGTAGTGATGGTAGTTCCATCACAATGTGATGTTCATGTTCTCTTCTGGTTTTTCTAATTCATTTTTCCTTTTTATTTGCAGTCATCAGGCTATGAAGTTTACATTTTAGAAGCAGCATACAAGGACCCGGAGGTGAATTTCTGCGTTAAATTTGTTCCATTCAGAATATCATGCTTAGGGTTCCTAGAGAAACCCCAATTATATAGCTTTGATTTAGGCAGGGCGGTCAGAGTCCTCCGTGTCGAGTGTATGGCTTACATAGGTCAGGTTATTCCTGCCTGGCTTCTTGCATGATATACTTGCCTTGTCTTGAATTTAGGGTTGTGCTGCTAGGAATGTCCATGGTTTTACCCTTGATGACATACAAAAGATGGCAGGACAGTGGGAAGAAGCTCCAGCCTTATATTGGCAACTGGATGTTAAGGTTTGAGAGCCTTTAATTTTCCCTTGATCCTAATTTTTGGAGTCATGCACAAGTTTTATGAGCTGTGCGAATTAAGGTTATTTATTACCTGTTTGTGTTCATGAAATACATTAGGTTATTTATTACATGTTTGTGTTCATGAAATACAATTAACTCGTGTCATTCTATTGCATGGCAGTCATTATTCCGTGGAGATGATCTCAAGGAAAATGGGATTCAAGAGGTAATTATAACATGCAGTTGTGTTTGATTGCACCTTAGTGGGATCGACATAATGTGCGTTGACATGATTGATCCACCAAATAGCACTCTATGCTACATGAATGCAAAAGATATATGTATTTCACATAGTATGTGAAGCCGTCTGTCATTCAAGTTTGCCAATCACGAGTCTTTCTGTTGTTTTGAATCGATACTTTTGCCAATCGCAAGCCTTTCACCTGTGAAGATGCGACCATTCTAAATTTTTGCTGAATGTATGGGTGGGTAGTATTTGTCTTTAGAGGCCCTTCAGTGTCTTCCCGTGATTTATATGTGTAAATGATCTTCCGTCATTATAATTTAGTTTAGAACACCACTCTTCTAGATGACCAATCATGTTGTATTTGTTTTATGATGACTCTTTGGAGAATATTATGAAGTCTACATTACAATTTTGTTAGTTGGGAGATTGGGATAGTACTGGGAGTCTCATTTTGTTTCCTGTGTTCCAGGTGGACATGGATATGGAGGATGATTATGATGAGAGTTTACCCGCAGTGGAAGGAAAAAAGTTAGAGAATCGCAAGGGACCTCCTCCTGATGGTGATGCACCAAATGGTATACTTCAAGTTCACTCTCATGGTTCTTTTAATTTATTGATTCAGAAAATATTAGTCTAAAATTCTGAGCTTCGGATTTGGAAGCCCTTCTCAATTCGATTTGTGTCATCTGACAAACATTTTATATGCATGCATCTTTCATAGTAAATATCATGTCAGAGTTTTCTATTTTTTGGGAGCATACTTCTGAGTCCTTGTTGTGATGAAAATTAGTTTTCAACGTGAAGGTCATCTGTTCATGCTAAATGTCGTATTAAGGGTTTTCGACTTTTTGGGAGCATGTACGTGAGTCCTTGTGATGAAAATTGCGTTCCAATGTGAGGTTCAATTTGGAGTTGTTTAATTTATCACGTCTAAAATTAGTTTTTGGTTGCGGTAATGCTGCTATAATCTGGAAGTCGTAACTCCTTATAGTGTTGATGATACTACCACTGTGGTAGAAATTGTTCTGAGATGTTCTGATCTCATGGCGTTGACCTGGTCCGTACCAAAGTGGGTAAGGTATTTCAGTAAAATTAGAAATGATGCGTCCATTATGCACTTGAAGAAGTTTCTTATACCAACCTTTTCTGACAGAACCTATGCAGTGACCTGCTCTTTTGCATAAATAGATGCCTAGATTTTCTTAAATGCGCTCTACCATTATCCTAATTTTATATGCAGTCTATGCTTTTGACCAATGAAATCGCATGGATTTAGGAGTGCTTTATTACGACATAGAAAAACAGATTTAATGTACAAGGGTCTCTGACATAGAGAAGATCCTGCAGTCCTAGAGTCAAATTTGCTCTGAAGTTTTTATCTAAAGTACGATTCATTCAATAATAAATAACCTGAGTTGCCATCTCCAGTTTTATTTCCTTTGGTGGTTTCTTTGATGAAGATGCTATTTTACTTGGTAAAAATGTTTGCCTGTTTTCATTCATAATGTGAGGTCCAGTAGTTGTCTTGGTGCTTTCTATATAAATTTATTTCTTGGAGCATGTCTTCTTGTGATATTTTGTTTCCAGATCCGCAGGTAGCTTGGTTGATTTAACTATCTCAGAAGATATTTTTGTGCTTGCATTTTGCTGCTAATGTACTATCTGACATGCATTATGCCTTCTTCTCTTTTGAGTTTCCAGTTTTGATGGTTTTTTAGCTTACCTCATTATCCCGATATTTTCAGAAGAATTCTCCAAAAACGGGGAGATAGGGGATGGAGGAGGAGACCATATAACAGAAGTAAGAGAATTGGGTAGGAGCAAGTGGTCAGAGAACCTGGAGGAACATGAAAATGAAGAGAAGGTTGAAATGCGAACCAGTGTATCTGCTCTTTCTGGCTTGGTTCAAACATATGGCAAGAAAGGAAAATCTGTGCGCTGGGGAGACAAGGTGTCTTTCAACTTTTCATATGATTGTTTTCTAAATAAGTACAGTTGGAAGAGGGATTTTTAGCTAGCCAAGCCGTACAGTCTAAGTGCAATCTCATAGTCAATAATTATTAATGCACTGGGGAACCTTTTGTACTTCTAGATTTTTATTTACTTATTAGAGTTTTGGAGTTTGTCCAGAGCTGATTGGTGAAAGGTTTTCGACCTAGAGCCAAAACGATATATATCAATGCAAAGGTTTTTTGAAGATATCGATTAAGTGTTGATAAACATTTGGCATATAAAAGTTCCCTGGCAAAAAAGAACTTTCCTTTGGCAACTGCATCTCTGTTTTTGTCCCTAATTGTGATAGTCTATTAGTATCGCTTTCCTGAAATACTGCTAAATTTCGGGTATTTACCTCCTTTTGGATAACTGAAAATGCAAATTTAGATTTCCTATTTCCTTTTCCACATTTTCTTGTCTCTTCTAACATCTTACTTTTTGCCCTATGATGTCATGAACTTCAGGCTGGCAATACTGGGTTCTTGATTGGTGCTGCAAAGAAGGCAAATGTTTTGTCTTTGGTGATTGGACCGGGTGCTGGATACAACTTGGTGGGTATATTGGCCTTGATTACCTTTCGAATATCGAACAATCCGAATTATATAGAAGGAAAACAAATTATTTCGTTTTGCCTATCACTATTCCCTTTTAGTGCCTTCAAATGCAAGTGAATAGCCATAAGGCTGCACGTGTGCTGCATAATGATTGTTTTAACTTTTTTCTCGAGATCCATTAAAATGCGATTTTTTCCCCTTGGTGTATCCTAAGTAACGGCGAATGTATTTCTCATCCTTTCATTTTCTTTCGTTAGCTGATTCTTGAATCTTTTTGTCATGGGTCCTGCAACCGCAGAAATCGAACCTGTTGCCGGATGAAGACAATTTGATGACGAGCCGTAGTGGTGGTGAACTGAAAAGACCGAGGAGCACATTCCAGGAGCGAATTAGGGCAGAACGCGAGTCATTCAAAGTAGTATTTGACAGGAGACGTCAGCGAATCGGTGGGCTTGATTTGGAGGAGGAATAGAGAAACAAATGGAACTGCTTAAGCCCCTGAATTCTTATGTTGCCTCTTTGCTAGGCTGTAAGTTAGAGTGGCATTTTGTTGTAGATTAGTAACACTGTAACTTGGCTTGCCCTGAAATTTTCAGCTGTAACAGGGGAAGTCCTCGCTCAAAATTAATGAAAGAAATCTTTTCGCCTTCGTAAGTTGTCTCACATCGATCATCTTTTCTCCGTTTTCGTACCGTATCATCTCCAATGGGCATCGGTCCACGAACCAAAGCATCTAGTGTGGTAAGAAATCGCCTTCGTACTGTATCATCTCCAATGGGCATCAGTCCACGAACCAAAGCATCTAGTGTGGTAAGAAATTGCCTTTGGGCGTCAAGACAAGTCGAAATTTTGTTCAATCATGTAATTAAATCAGAAGAATGCTGCGCAACACCTTTCATGGGTCAATTTTGTATGGCTTGAAAGAGAACAAAGTTTGCCCTTTATGGTTAAGAGACAGCTAACTGATGTGTGCTGCAGATGAAATTGTGACTCCAGCCGATGAGCGGCGGGGAAGGTTTGTCAAGGTCAATGATTTGATTGAACAACTCCTTTCAAACCATCAGTTCATTGGCAAGGCAACATGTCTGAAATTCGCAGTACGTAACTTAGGAAAGGCGAACTGCAAAGATTTCACATGAAATTACATCCATCGCGTTATGCGTTCGATGGTAAATTGCACCGAGCTCGTACAGAGCACGGGGCAATATCCTCCCGCCAGCTCCCCGCGATCCTTCATCGCCGGGATCAAGCCCCGAGCATAAAGACAGCCGACTTCATCATGTTCGTCCATGGCGCTGAAGGTGCCGGCGTGCAACAACAGTGGTAAAAAGAAGCAGAACCACTTTCACATATAATATTACACAGAGAGAGAGAGAGGCATTTCCTCTGTGCGGCTCATGAATACCACGAATATTTATATAGCATCACCACATGGCACAAGCCAGTAGCAGAGCGCAAACAAGAAGATACCCTTCGCTCTGTCTCTCTCTCTGCACCCACATGGCGATTGCTGCTGGAGGGGGAGGAGGAGGGCGCTTCCTAGCACGTCTCATCGACTCATCGGAGCGGTCGTCCTCCTCATCCGCCAAGTCCTCTGCTTCCGGTCCATCCATGGCCTCCAGGCTCTCATTCCACTTCCCCACTCACGTACGAACTTCACAATGCTCGTCGCTTGCCACTTCTTCTCTCTCGTTCTCCAGATCTATAGTCTTTGTGACCCAGTTGACGCTCGGTGTTTCCTTTCGTTTTGCAGAGGTATCGGAGTTCATGCTCATTGAACATGAATGGCTGCGAAGGGGACCCCACGGCCCCCATCGGCACCGCCGAGACCCGCACCTTCCCGGCCGTGGCGACGCTGGGCCTCGCCGTGGACCGCCTCAGCTCCGCCGTCGCCGGCCTCAAGGCGAGCCCGCCAGGTCTCGGCTCCGGCATTATCCGCCTTCAGGCAAGTCAAAAGGCTTTCTTCCCCTTGCGCTGTCGTTGTCTCGTCTGCTGGAACTAAAGCAAAAGCAACGTTGCCGCAGTTTGACAACAGAAAACATTCTTGATAAAATCCTGGCAAATGGGGTTCGGGCACGGGTCCGACTGGGATTGGTTCTTGCGATTTGAAGTCATTTGGAGAAAAAAGTATAAAGAGACATGCATAAAAAATCCTAAAACTTATTATGAAAATGCAACTTAACTCAAAAAACTTTAAAAAAGTACAATTTAGTTTTAAAATTTATCATTAAATGCAATTGAATCCTAAAACTTTTAAAAAATTCGATTAAGTTTTAAAATTTATCTAATTGATTCAATTAAGTCTCTTCATTGATTATATTTATTGGAAATTTTAGGAATTAATTGTATTTTTATGATAAATTTTAGAACTTAATTATGTTTTGAAATTTCAGAGCTCGATTGCACTTTTATAATAAGTTTTAGGACGTGATTAAAAAGTTTTAGGCTACGAGTTTTAAGACTTTTCGGTGTACCTAAATACACGGAACATTGTACACTTCTTCCCGCGCGATTTTGACGGCTCTCACTCTGCGATTTCTCTCGGTGAAGGTGCCGATCCACGAGAAGATCGAAGCGATCGACTGGCTCCACTCTCAGCGCCAGCTCCTCCCCCGCTGCTTCTTCTCCGGCCGGGACTCCGCCGGCGGCAGGTCCGATTGCCTCCTCGAGCCGTCCTCGGCCGCCAGCGGCAACGGCAACGGCAACGAGCATCTCCGCCGCCGGACGGGGCACAGGCTGGTCAGCGTCGCCGGCATCGGATCCGCGGTGTTCTTCCGCCGCGTTCGCCCCTTCTCCTACGAAGATTGGTTGTCCATCAAAAGGTAGCACGGTTTGCGAGTTTCGTCTCCGTGTTGTTCCGTCTTATGCATGTTTCGATAGATCGATGCAGTCTAGAGAGCATGAACAAAGTCATTCTGTGCTGCATATATCGCAATTCGAATGAACTCGAATGAGCAACTAGGCCGGGTGCTTCGATTTTCCGTGCTTTTCTCATGAACTAGGTGAAGCTTCAGCAGAAGAGTGATTGGGGACTTAGTAGATGAGTCAAATTAATAGTCAAATTGTTCTCGTAGGGTTTGTGGGAGCTATTCGCGATTGACCATAATCGAGAGTTCCTTTCCGTTGAATTTATAGGTTCCTCTCCACGAGCTGCCCTTTAATCCGTGCTTATGGGGCGATTCGCTTTGATGCGAGATCGAACGTGTCGCCAGAGTGGGAGGCTTTCGGTTCGTTCTACTTTATTGTTCCTCAGGTAAACTGGGTGCCATTCTTTTGAAGGACGCGTTAGGAGCCATGGATTTTGGATGTCGGAGTCTATTCGCCTTCTCCTGAGTACTAAACCCTTCTAGTTAATGGCAGGTTGAGTTTGATGAGCTCGAAGAGAGCTCTATGCTTGCAGCTACTGTTGCATGGGACAATGCCCTTTCTTGGACTTGGGAAAAGGCCATAAATTCGCTGGAAGCTACAATAAACCAGGTCTATCTTCATCTTAATGATATGACATATGATACTTCCTGGTCGACTGATCTCTCAACATGTCTGATGATGAAGTAACACACTATAGGTGCAAGGACTATGCATCTGATGACTGCATTGGTTTTGAATTTTGTAGGTATCGTCACTGGTAATGAAGTTAAGAAAGCAAGTTCCTAAAGCATTCATCTTAAGTAATAATCACGTTCCCAGCAAGAACTGCTGGGATCTTGCAGTGAAGAGAGCTTTGCAGATGATTAATGGTGATGACTCTGCCCTCATTAAGGTAATGAATGATACGTGTGTACATTGCTGTGGTCAGTGGCTATCAAGACTCTGTTGCTTTCTTCTACTCGTACCAATGGGGCCTACCATTCCTCTTGTTCTGTGTCAATCATCATCTTTGTTCTGATTCACTATCTTTTCTCCCTGAAAACGCGTCTTATTCTCCTTTCACAGGAATCTTATTGGTTTTTCAATGTATCTCTCTGAATTTAGGTTGTGCTAGCACGAAGCAGCAGATTCCTTACTGCTACAGACATAGATCCTATAGCAGGGCTCGCTTGTTTACAGGTACTATTTCGCATATTGGTCTTAGATCATGGCTTAATCATTAGTTAGGATGCTTATGTGGAAGCCAATTTTTCAGATTGAAGGGGAAAATGCTTACCAGTTTTGTCTTCAGCCACCTAATGCTCCAGCATTCATTGGAAACACGGTAATTACGATTATCTTCATAGTTTAATTTCTCTCTTTGGGATTTATGGGCTTTCTAATTTTGACTTGGATAAACTTTGTGAATAGCCAGAGCAACTATTTCACAGACGCTGGCTTAGTATCAGCAGTGAAGCTTTGGCTGGAACACGTGCTAGAGGTGAATCAGTGGCTTCGGATCTCCAAATAGAACTTGACTTGCTTTCAAGGTCTATATTTTCGCTACAGGAATAGACCTTTCAGCACTGCATGCTACTTTTAGATGAGCATTCTGTCCAATTTCTCTCTAATTTTCCTCTTATTCATAATTTTCAGTCCAAAGGACCATCTTGAGTTTACTATAGTGCGGGAGAGCATAAGAAGAAAATTAGAGGCAAGTCTTTTGTATTTTCCTTTTGAGCTGTTACTTGTTTATGATGTGAGTTTTTCTCAATAACTTGTCAATTCTACTCATAGTTAGAAAGTAGTTTTACATGGCAATGGGCTTTAAAGTATCTTGCGTTGATCACCCCAAGCCATCATTGCCAACATTAATGAGGGTGGATGCATTGAGTTGGTATGCTGTTTATGAAGCGAGGAGCAAAAGAACACATGTTTCCTTCTTGCTCACTATCTATAAGTTTTGCTTGAATGAGCCAGGAAGGGAGCTCAGTTTCCTCAGATCCTTGCTCCATACTAGCATGACCATGTAACCAGTAAAACAGGGCTTTGACGATATACACACTGATAAAAGGGTCCTTGTTTGGAGAGTGCGCAAGCTAGTTTTCTCCTTGTCTTCATGATTATGATCTCGCAGGAAGTAGCCTGTACTGTGATTTTGCTGCTGTAGTGATAAACTCTCTCTGAGGACATATATATAGCATATTTGTTTGTGTACAGAAACATTATATTCACTGTTACTGCTATTTTTGTAGGCTGTATGTAGTGGAGTGGTTGTAGAACCAAGAAAAGCAATTCGAAAACTTTCTAGAGTTCAACATCTACATGCTGTACTGGCTGGTACATTGAGAAGTGAAGGTGATGAGGTGAGAGTCTGGCTGCCTTCCATTATTATAATTTCCTGATTGATCTTTACACGTCTGTTATCATCTTATGGCGATGAGTGTTCTGATGGGGCTTAATTTACCTTTTCTTCAATTTTTTTCGTGGTTATTACAAAATTTAGCTGACTATTGTTTTGCCAGTTTGACATTTTGTCTTCTCTCCACCCGAGTCCAGCAGTTTGTGGATTTCCGACAGAAGAAGCAAGGCTTTTAATTGCTCAAACTGGTAACTTCATTTTGAAACCCAAGCGTTGCATATCCATTTGTTTTCGTTCCTCTAATTTGTGAGGTAGCTTTAAATCTTGAAAGATGTGAATATGATGTAAACTTCGTTTTTTGCTGAGATTGTTGGAAGTCACGACTTCTTACTTTGCATAAATTGAAACGTGGACTTTCCCATAGAAAGATTGAATTAGGTTCACTTATCTACAGCACGCGCTACACTACTATCTGTAGAAATTTAGGAGAAATTGTTCTAAGTTTTTATTCTCCAGAAGGACATCTTAATTACATGAGGCCTCTGGCCTTTTATAGCTGCTCGTCCAGCTAATTATTTTGTGCTAACTACCGAAGCAAAAGCCAGATATACTAGCCATAAATCTGGTTAGTATCTGCTGGTTGAAACAAAAAAAATTAACAGCACCCTAAAACTTAGGAAACAAATTCCTAAAAGCTAACAAACAAAATCCTGAAAATCTGGAAAAATAACCGAACTTCTGCTGCTAACAAAAAAATCCGGTTCTAGTTTTCAACACTCCCCCTCAAGCTGGGTTATGAATGTCTATCATACCCAGCTTGCACCTCAAAGTCTCGAAACTATATCTGGATAAAACCTTGGTCAGTATATCCGCTGTTTGATGATTGGTTGGAACATACAAGAGCTTCAATATTCCTTCATCGAGTTTTTCTTTGATGAAATGTTGATCGATCTCCACATGTTTTGTTCTATCATGATGAACCGGGTTCTTGGCAATCTCAATAGCAGCTTTGTTGTCACATAATAATAACATAGGATTGGTATTAGTGAATCCTAGTTCATTTAAGACTCTTCTCAGCCACACGCCTTCACATATTCCTTGACACATTGCTCTAAACTCCGCTTCAGCGCTGCTCCTAGCAACAACGGGTTGTTTCTTGCTTCTCCAATTAACCATGTTGCCCACACGAGGGTACAATACCCTGTTGTAGACCTTCAGTCCGTGAGAGATCCAGCCCAATCTGCATCCGTGAAAATCTCCACGTTTCTCTCCTCTGTTTTCTTAAAGTAAAGCCCTCTTCCAGGACTTCTCTTCAGGTACTGTAAGATTCGAAAAACTGCCTGCAGGTGCTTCTCTGTTGGTTGGTTCATGTATCTACTAACCATACTGCGAAACCAATGTCTAGCCGAGTATGTGAGAGATAGATTAGTTTGCCAACTAATCTTTGATACCTCCCTTTGTCCATTAATGATCCTTCTTCCATCTCAGTTTTATAGGTAGAACCATGAGGATGTCAGCTGGTTTACACCCAAGCATACCGGTTTCCTTCAAGAGATCAAGAGTATACTTGCGTTGAGAAATTGCAATCCCTTTCCGTGACCGAGCTACCTCCATACCTAGGAAGTATTTGAGTTGACCTAGGTCTTTAACCTCGAATTCTTGTGCCAAGATATTCTTCAGTTTTCCAATCTCCTCCAGATTGTCACCAGCTAGGATTATATCATCAACGTATACGATCATTATTGCTCTTCTACCTTCAACTGACTTCTTGACAAACATTGTATGATCTATTTGACATTGAGTGAAATTCAGCTTCTTAACGACCCTTGTTAACCTCTCGAACCAAGCACAAGGTGATTGCTTTAGGCCGTATAGGGATTTCTTGAGTTTGCACACCTTGTTGAAGCTCTCTTTAGTGTCAATTTCAGGTGGGACCTCCATAAAGACTTCTTTCTCCAATTCCCCATTTAAGAAAGCATTCTTTATGTCTAATTGCTGTAGGGGCCAGTCCAAGTTAGCTGCAAAAGAGAGCAACACTCGAATGGAGTTTAGTTTGGCCACCGGAGCGAAGGTTTCTTCGTAGTCTATTCCATATGATTGTGTGAATCCCTTAGCGACCAGTCTTGCCTTGAAACGATCAACACTACCATCGGCGTTGTGCTTAACTGTAAAGACCCACTTACATCCCACCAATTTCTTCCTAGCTGGCAATTTTGTATATTCCCAAGTCTTATTCTTCTCAAGTGCATGAATTTTCTCAAGAACCGCTCTTTTCCACTCAGATTGAGCAAGTGCCTCCTGGATATTCTTGGGAATTTGAATGTCGCTCAACGTTGAAACAAATGCCTTGTATTTCGGAGACAACTTTTCGTAAGACACAAAGTTGTTAATGGGATGTTGAGTGCACTGTCTCTTCCCCTTCCTAAGAGCAATAGGCTGATTAAGATCATCAAGTACAGCAGAATTTTCTGAGTTTGCAGGAGCATTACCTTCATTGACTGTGGGTCTTGAACTCGGATCTGTCTCTTGAGCCGGCCTTGTTGTAGGACGGTCCTCCAACTCCTTTTGAGTCTTCCTCCTAGAGTAGACAATTACCTTTTTATTTTTGTCTTGTGTAGCATCTTGAATGGGTAGACACGAAAGACTTTCAGATGTTGGATGACTCTCGGATGTTTGAATGGGTAGACACGGAAGACAAGGAGAATTTGTTTGTTGTGACCCGAGTGACTGAGAAGTGTCCCAAAAATAATATTCCTTACAACTCTCCCCCTGAATGATATTTTTGAAGTGAAAGGGCTGGTGCTCAAAGAAGGTAACATCCATGGTGGTATGAAAACGCTTTGTTTGTGGGCAATAACACTTATATCCACTTTGATTTGGAGCGTATCCTAGAAACACACATTTGAGGGACTTAGGATCTAGCTTGTTGCGATGTTGCTGATTTATATGAACAAATGCTGTGCAGCCGAATACTTTGAGTAGGATATGTGAGTAAAACGAATATGTGGGTAGGTATGAAGTAGCCTCTGAAATGGTGTTCGGAAATCTAGAACACGAGAAGGCATACGATTGATGAGATATGTGGCTGTTAACACTGCTTCTCCCCAAAAATGTTTAGGAACATGGGTGGCTATAATAAGAGAACGGACAACTTCCAAAAGATGCCTATTTTTTGTCTCCGCCACTCCATTTTGTTGTGGATTTTCTACACAAGAGCTAATATGTATGATACCATGGCTATTTAGATATGACCCGAGCTGTGAGTGAAAGTCTTCTCTCCCATTATCTGTTTTGAAAACTTGGATTTTTGTGCTGAATTGGGTTTGGATCATTTGGTTGAAGGTTTGAAAAATTCGGCTAATATCGGATTTTTCTTTCATCAGAAAAAGCCAAGTGAGTCTTGTGTGATCATCAATGAAGGTAACAAACCACCTAGAATCAGTAATATTATTGACACGAGAAGGTCCCCAAATATCGCTATGAATCATGTGAAATGGATGAGAAAACTTATAAGGTTGCAAAGGGTATGAACTGAGAGTATATTTGGATAATTGATACACCTCACATTGAAATTTTATTGAATCTTTGTTGAACAAAGAAGGTAGCAACCTTTTTAAGTACGAGAAATTTGGATGACCTAACCTATAGTGCCACAATCTTACTTCACTCTCTTCCTTAGCACGAGATGCTACACATGACATCTTCTTGTTTTTCCATTCTGAGGCATTAACTCGCAGAAGGTAGAGGCCCGCATCCATCTCAGCACTGCCAATCGTCATCCCCGAGTTCAAAACCTGAAATTCACATGAGTGTGGGAAAATTTAGTAATGCAGCCTAAATCTTTGGTTAACTTGCTGATGGAGAGAAGATTATAGCTGAGTTTGGGAATAAATAATACTGAATTCAGTGTTATATCTTTTGAAATAACCACTGATCCAACACCAGCCACCTTTGAGCAAGAACCATCAGCAATTTGAACGCTAGTGCCGTTTTGACATGGATTGTACTCGTTGAACACTGTGATATCTCCGGTCATGTGGTCGGATGCTCCTGAGTCTACTACCCAAGAGGTGATTTTCTCCTGGTTAGCACTAAAGGCATTTAGAGAATTACCTCGTTGAGCTATCGTTGCTGTATTAACCCCTTCTGGACGAGTTGCCTTCTGAACTGATTCCTGCAGCAACTTTTTCAGCATCTCCAGCTGCTCTTTGTTGAAGGGACTCGAATCTACCTAAGCGTTTGTTTCGATTTGGACTATGTTGCTTCTGCTCTCCCGGTCTTGAGTAGGACATGAGGCTGATGGCTTCCAATCATCTAGCCGACCATGAAGTTTCCAGCATGTGTCTTGTGTGACCTGTCCGTTTGCAATGATCGCACCACGGACGACCACCCTTTCACTGGTTGTTGTTGTTTGACTGAGTGCCTCGACTGTAGGATGGTTGAGATCCTCGGGCTATTAAGGTAGAATTTTCTGGATTGGTCTGGTTTTTTGAAACACCAAGCATCACCTTTCACCGAGTCTCTTCTCTCTTGACCTTCGCAAAAACTTCTCGTACGTTAGGTAGGGGCTTTATGCTTAGAACTCGTCCACGTACCTTATCAAGCTCTTGATTCAAGCCTAACAGAAATTTATAGATGCGTTCTCGATCTTGAATCTGCTTGTACCGCTTGCTATCTTCAAGACAACTCCACATCATATCTTCCAGCATGTCAAGTTGCTGCCAATGACGCATGAGTTGGTTAAAATAATCAGTGACCGAAGATTCCCCTTGCCTTAGATCATAAAGAATGCCCTTGATCTCGAAGATGGCTGAGGTGTTATCTTTGTTGGAATAAGTTTCATGAACAGCATCCCAATTCTCCTTCGTTGTCTGGTAGTACATGAAATTCTCCCCTGTTTCATTTGTCATTGAATTCAGCAGCCAGGACATCACCATGTTATTTTCCACCTTCCATGTTCGATAGTTTGGGCTCGTCTCCTCAGGTTATACGACAACTCCAGTTAGGTAATCTTCTTTACCTTTTCCGCAAACGAAAATCATGACAGAATGGGACCATTGATTGAAGTTGTGACCGGTAAGTTTATGACCGGTGATGAGAAGAGTTCCCCCTTCGGATACATTGATAGGTTGGGTAATCAAAGGAGAGTTCTGAGCTTTAGGGTCTGAGGTTTCACTCTCAACCTCACTTGCCATGGTGACTCTAGGGTATTTTGTCATGGTGGAAACACTCAGAGATATGGTAGAAAAGAATGGTCCAGATCGAGCTCTGATACCATGTAGAAGTTTAGGAGAAATTGTTCCAAGTTTTTATTCTCCATAAGGACATCTTAATTACATGAGGCCTTTGGCCTTTTATAGCTGCTCGTCCAGCTAATTATTTTGTGCTAACTACCAAAGCAAAAGCCAGATATACTAGCCATAAATCTGGTTAGTATCTGCTGGTTGAAACAAAAAAAATTAACAGCACCCTAAAACTTAGGAAACAAATTCCTAAATGCTAACAAACAAAATCCTAAAAATCTGGAAAAATAACCGAACTTCTGCTGCTAACTAAAAAATCCGGTTCTGGTTTTCAACACTATCTGATACTTCTCTCAGAATGTTTGCTCATTCTTTAACACGATTAACACTAAGTGTGCGCATGGCAACGACTCTATGCCCGGGAACTAATTCTGCTCAGAAATGATTCTTTTTTATTCTATGCCCGGGAACAATTTCTAAGCATTTGAAGGCGTTTGGTAACTGTCCAAAATTTCTATTCTTAGAATAGAAAAAGAACAGAAATGCCTTTGGTAACTACACAAAATTTCTTTTTATTAATAATATTTTAAATTTTTTGATATTTCTTTCTTTTTTTTTCTTTTTTTTCCTTCCCTTCCTTGGCCGGTCGCCAGCGCCGGCGACCCGCCACAGGCCAGGGCCGGCGAGGGCGTTGCGGACGCGAGCTGCCCTCGCCGGCCTTGGCCGGTGGCCGGTCGCTAATGGCTGGCGACAGACCAGGAAGAAGAAGAAGAACAAACCAAAAAGGAAGGAGAAAACCAAGAAGAATCAGAAATGGAAAAATTGTTCCAGAATCAAGAAGCTACTTTTTTTTGCTTCTTGATTCTGTTCCAAAACTAATTCTGGAAACAATTTTTTGCAAATTTGTGCCATGGCACAAAAATTTTAACAAACGGATTTCTGTTCCCAAACTGATTCTGGGAACAGAAATTTTCACTATTTGACAACTTGCCAAACGCCCCCTCAGAGAATGCTCAAGTAGTCTGGTGTCTGGCAGCCTGAATGAGAATATTGCCTAGCTAACTTCTGTCTCTGAACCACTTTAGGGGAACCTTCCTGTGTGCTTGCTTTCCAAACTACTAAATGCTAATTGGTACATCTATATTAATGTTTTATACTCCCCTGATGCTTTTCTTGCAGAGGTATTTGACCGAGGAATGTATGCTGGACCTGTGGGCTGGTTTGGAGGGGGAGAGAGTGAGTTTGCTGTTGGTATTAGGTCAGCTTTGGTTGGAAAGGTGATCCCCCCAAATTTTCTCTTTAATTAACTAGATGCATTTTCTTAAAGTGAAACTATTCTTCTGTTGCCCTGGATCCAAATGCTTCTTTGTTTTGGTTTATCTAGTGAAAATAAGTGCATCGTTGTCCCATTAATTAGTTGTGGGGAATTAACCTAAAATTTCGAATGCTTATGCTGGGTTTTAGGGCCTTGGTGCTTTAATTTATGCTGGGACCGGGATAGTGGAAGGAAGCAATCCATCTTCCGAATGGGATGAACTGGAAATCAAGATATCTCAGGTATGTGATGCGTATGCTCTCCTGGTCTAGATGACTTTGTTGATGACTTTTAAAGTTTGACATTGTAGAAGAACGAGATCTTTCCGAGAGGTGATTTCCTAGCATCACTAAATTAATATTCGAAGAATATCAGGATTTTCATATTTGTTTATGTAGTTCATGAAATTGCTCAAACTTGAGGTGCCTTCACGACAAGAGTTGATGACTTAGGGATGAGCATACTAAAGGTCAGTGACTGTAAGTTCTCCATTTCTTTTAGTTACTTCTCAAATCATAATTTTCAACTATGACTATTAAATTGCAATCAAGTTGGCAGTGTTCATGATTCATAATAAGAGTATATTACAGTCCGAAGTGTTTTGAGAATTACCATTAGCAACCTCCTAACTAGGCATTTTGAGGTCTTGAAATGCTCCCAGTTGAACTGAGATGGGGCAATGACTGTCATTGGCTCAAAACGTGAGTTTATCATAGACTCAGCAACTTGGACAAAAGTACCTTCTCTTGTGAATGATCCACGTGTCTGTTTGTATATGTGGGGATTGATGTTCTTGCTATGTTGGTTACTTCATCACATGTATTCGAGTCTGTTTCCTAAACATTTTTTAGCGAATAATGAATAGGGTTTGTCTCATGCTCTCTGTGACAACTGATGTACTGAAGATCACTAGATTTCAGATGCAGAGGTTATTGATACTAAGTAGTCCATGTTCTTTAGTTTTTGCTCTTCTACTTCTGCCCATCTTTTTGCCTCTTCAAGTGATTGATCTTGTACCTAGCTTTTTCGAAAAACGATCCTCCCGGCTTGGGTCTTTGTTTGGTATCTTTACTCCCCACAGTAGGACATCTTGTTGCCACTTTTTGTCCACTGTCGGAAGCACTGCCAGTATAATGCTTCAGTCTTTTTTAAAGGATATTTTTCCAGGGGCAATGTAAAACAGAATAAACCTACCGAAATAACTTCATTAAACCAGAAGATGACTGACCATGTTATCTGCATTCGTCCAACATTTTTTTCTAATCATAGAGCAGAAGTAGTGACACCAATCTAGTGTACTTCTGAACCTGTATCTCCAACTTCTATTTAGGGAGAGGTTCTTGCTTTCTTTGTCGACTTTGTTTATGTGCACTTGTAAGTACATTGCTGTACGTGTTTCGGTCTTTATGCAGATGAGAGCGCCTGCAAAGTGCATGAGTCTGGTTACTAATGTCACTGGCTCTGTTCAAATTGCATCCTTCTCATTCACATTTCCAGTCGGACTTCCAGATTCAGCAAAGAAGGTTCCATTTGATGTTAGGTCTTCCTTGGATCTCCATACTACCACACACTTTCTGGTGCATAGTCTCTCTTGGTCACGCAAATAAGAGACGTAATTGGCATTCCAAATTTATTCATTCAGTATCGAGCATTTCGTTTGCGCAGAAAACTGGAATCAAATAAATGTGCAGGCATGCAATGTCTGACATCGTCTTCATCTATGCAAATTCATTTTTTTCATTCTTAGTTGATTTCTCGGAGATGATTGAAGAAATAGTATTACAGCCTTGGAATCCGGAATTGGAGGGCAATGATCTGTTACCCAGGCAAAACACAAGGTCAGCTTCTATTCTAACTATGGAATGCAGGAGGCAATGAGTTTAGTCAATCATCGACCACAAAAATTGATGAAATAAATCCTTTTGCCTTCCTAAGTTGTCTCACATCAATCATCTTTTCTCCGTTGTCGTACCGTATCATCTCCAATGGGCATCGGTCCACGAACCAAAGCATCTAGTGTGGATAAGAAATCGCCTTTGGGCGTCGAGACAAGTCGAAATTTTGTTCAATCATGTAATTAAATCAGAAGAATGCTGCGCGACACCTTCTTTCATGGGTCAATTTTGTATGGCTTGAAAAAGAACGAAGTTTGCCCTTTATGATTAAGAGACAGCTAACTGATGTGTACTGCAGATGAAATTGTGACTCCAGCCTATGAGCGGCAGGGAAGGTTTGTCAAGGTCTATGATTTGATTGAACAACTCCTTTCAAACCATCAGTTCATTGGCAAGGCAATATGTCTGAAATTCACAGTACCTAACTTAGGAAAGGCGAACCGCAAAGATTTCACATGAAATTACATCCATCTCGTTATGTGTTCAATGGTAAATTGCACCGAGGTCGTACAGAGCATGGGGCAATATCCTCCTGCCAGCTCCTCATGGTCCTTCATTGCCAGGATCGAGCCACAAGCATAAAGACAGCCGACTTCATCATGTTTGTCCAAGGCGCTGAAGGTGCCGGCGTGCAACAACAGTGGTAAAAAGAAGCAGAACCACTTTCAAATATATATTACAGAGAGAGAGAGAGAGAGAGAGAGAGAGAGAGAGAGAGAGAGAGAGAGAGAGAGAGAGAGAGAGAGAGAGGCATTTCCTCTGTGCGGCTCATGAATATCACGAATATATATAGCATCACCACAAGCCAGTAGCAGAGCGCAAACAAGAAGACACCCTTCTCTCTGTCTCTCCTCTCCTCCCTCATGGCGATTGCTGCTGGAGGGGGAGGAGGAGGGCGCTTCCTAGCACGTCTCATCGACTCATCGGAGCCGTCGTCCTCCTCATCCGCCAAGTCCTCTGCTTCCGGTCCATCCGTGGCCTCCAGACTCTCATTCCACTTCCCCACTCACGTATGAACTTCACAATGCTCGTCGCTTTCCACTTCTTCTCTCTCGTTCTCCAGTTCTATAATCTTTGTGACTCAGTTGACGTTCAGTGTTTCCTTTCGTTTGCAGAGGCATCAGAGTTCATGCTCATTGTCCATGAACGGCTGCGAAGGGGACCCCACGGCCCCCATCGGCACCGCCGAGACCCGCACCTTCCCGGCCGTGGCGACACCAGGCCTCGCCGTGGACCGCCTCAGCTCCGCCGTCGCCGGCCTCAAGGCGAGCCCGCTGGGTCTCCGCTCCGGCATTATCCGCCTTCAGGCAAGTCAAAAGGCTTTTTTTCCCTTGCGCCGTCGTCGTCTCGTCCGCTGTAACTAGAGCAAAAGCAACGTTGCCGCAGTCTGACAACGGATAACATTCTTGATAAAATCTTGGCAAATGGGGTTCAGGCACGTGTCCGACTGGGATTGGTTACCGGGATTTGAATTCATTGGAGAAAAAAAATTAATGAATAATTACATTAAAAGTCATAAATCTTATCGTGATAATATAATTGAGCCCTAAAACTTTTAAAAAGTATAATTAAATCTTAAAATTTATCGCGAAGTATAATTAAATCTTAAAACTTTCAAAAAGTATAATTAAATTTTAAAACTTGTCCAACTGGTCTAATGGTTCTTTTGTTGATTGCACTTCTTGAAAATTTTGAAATTGATTGTATTTTTTTTGATAAATTTTAGTATTTGATTATTTTTTAAAATTTTAACGCTTGATTGTACTTTCGTAATAAATTTTAAGATTTTATTGTATTTTTTGAAAAATTTAAGATTAAATTATATTTTCGTGATAAGTTTTAATACTTTCCCGATGCACTTGAATACGAGGAACGACGTACACTTCTTCCCGCGCGATTTTTCACAGCTCTCGCTCTGCGACTTCTCTCGGTGAAGGTGCCGATCCACGAGAAGATCGAAGCGATCGACTGGCTCCACTCTCAGCGCCAGCTCCTCCCCCGCTGCTTCTTCTCCGGCCGGAACTCCGCCGGCGGCAGCTGCTCCGATTGCCTCCTCGAGCCGTCCTCGGCCGCCAGCGGCAACGGCAACGGGCACGGGCATCTCCGCCGCCGGACGGGGCACAGGCTGGTCAGCGTCGCCGGCGTCGGATCCGCGGTGTTCTTCCGCCGCGTTAGCCCCTTCTCCTATGAAGATTGGTTGTCCATCAAAAGGTAACACGGTTTGCGAGTTGCGTCTCCGTGTTGTTCCGTCTTATGCATGTTTCGATGGATCGATGCAGTCTAGAGATCATGAACAAAGTCATTCTGTGCTGCATATATCGCAATTCGAATGAACTCGAATGAGCAACTAGACCGGGTGCTTCGATTTTTCCTGTTTTTCTCATGAACTAGGTTCAGCAAGGTGAAGCTTCAGCAGAAGAGTGATTGGGGAATTAGTAGATGAGTCCAATTAGAAGGAGTTATTTGCGATTGACCGTAATTGAGAGTTCCTTTCCATTGAATTTATAGGTTCCTCTCCACGAGCTGCCCTTTAATCCGTGCTTATGGGGCGATTCGCTTTGATGCGAGATCGAATGTGTCGACAGAGTGGGAGGCTTTCGGCTCTTTCTACTTCATTGTTCCTCAGGTAAACTGGTGCCATTCTTTTGAAGGGCGCGTTAGGAGCCATCGATTTCGGATGTTGGTGTTGATTTGCCTTCTCCTGAGTACTAATTGTAGACCCTTCTAGTTAATGGCAGGTTGAGTTTGATGAGCTCGAAGAGAGCTCTATGCTTGCAGCTACTATTGCGTGGGACAATGCTCTTTCTTGGACTTGGGAAAAGGCCATAAGTTCGCTGGAAGCTACGATAAACCAGGTCTATCTTCATCTTAATGATATGACATATGATACTTCCTGGTCGACTGATCTCTCAACATGTCTGATGATGAAGTAACACACTATAGGTGCAAGGACAATGCATCTGATGACTGCATTGGTTTTGAATTTTGTAGGTATCGTCACTTGTAATGAAGTTAAGAAAGCAAGTGCCTAAAGCATTCATCTTAAGTAATAATCACGTTCCCAGCAAGAACTGCTGGGGTCTTGCAGTGAAGAGAGCTTTGCAAATGATTAATGGAGATGACTCTGCCCTCATTAAGGTAAGGAATGATACATGCATACATTGCTGTGACCAGTGGTTATCCAGACTCTGTTGCTTTCTTCTACTTGTACCAATGGGGCCTACCATTCCTCTTGTTCCATGTCAACCATCATCTTTGTTCTGATTCACTATTTTTACTCCCTGAAAACGCGTCTTATTCTCCTTTCACCGGAATCTTATTGGTTTTTCAACGTATCTCTCTGAATTTAGGTTGTGCTAGCACGAAGCAGCAGATTCCTTACTGCTACAGACATAGATCCTATAGCATGGCTCGCTTGTTTACAGGTACTATTTGGCATATTGGACTTAGATCATGGCTTAATCATTAGTTAGGATGCTTATGTGGAAACCAATTTTTCAGATTGAAGGGGAAAATGCTTATCAGTTTTGTCTTCAGCCACCTAATGCTCCAGCATTCATTGGAAACACGGTAATTACGATTATCTTCATATTTTAATTTCTCTCTTTGGGATTTGTGGGCGTTCTATTTTTGACTTGGATAAACTTTGTGAATAGCCAGAGCAACTATTTCACAGAACCAGGCTTAGTATCAGCAGTGAGGCTTTGGCTGGAACACGTGCTAGAGGTGAATCAGGGGCTTCGGATCTCCAAATAGAACTTGACTTGCTTTCAAGGTCTATATTTTCACTACAGGAATAGACCTTTCAGCACTGCATGCTACTTTTTAGACGTGCATTCTTTCTAATTTCTCTCTAATTTTCCTCTTATTCATATTTTTCAGTCCGAAGGACCATCTTGAGTTTACTATAGTGAGGGAGAGCATAAGAAGAAAATTAGAGGCAAGTCTTTTGTATTCTCCTTTCGAGCTGTTACTTGTTAATGATGTGAGTTTTTCTCAATAACTTGTCAATTCTACTCATAGCTAGAAAGTAGCTTTACACACCAATGGGCCTTAAAGTATCTTGCGTTATCACCCCAAGCCATCATTGCCAACATTAATGAGGGTGGATGCATGAAGTTGGCATGATGTTTATGAAGCGAGGAGCAAAAGAACACTCATGTTTCCTTTTTGCTCACTATCTATAAGTTTTGCTTGAATGAGCCAGGAAGGGAGCTCAGTTTCCTCAGATCCTTGCTCCATACTAGCATGACCATGTAATTGGTAAAACAGAGCCTTGACGATATACACACTGATAAAAGGGTCCTTGTTTGGAGAGTGCGCAAGCTAGTTTTCTCCTCGTCTTCATGATTATGATCTCGCAGGAAGTAGCCTGTACGGTGATTTTGCTACTGTAGTGATAAACTCTCTCTGAGGACATATATATAACATATTCGTTTCTATGCAAAAACACTATATTCACTTCTGCTGCTATTTTTGTAGGCTGTATGTAGCGGAGTGGTTGTAGAACCAAGAAAAGCAATTCGAAAACTTTCTAGAGTTCAACATCTACATGCTGTACTGGCTGGTACATTGAGAAGTGAAGGCGATGAGGTGAGAGTCTGGCCGCTTCCATAATCATACTTTCCTGATTGATCTTTACACGTCTGTTATCATCTTATGGCGATGAGTGTTCTGACGGAGCTTAATTTACCTTTTCTTCAATTTTTTTTGTGGTTATTACAAAATTTAGCTGACTATCGTTTTGCCAGTTTGACATTTTGTCTTCTCTCCACCCGAGTCCAGCAGTTTGTGGATTTCCAACAGAAGAAGCAAGGCTGTTAATTGCTGAAACTGGTAACTTCATTTGAAACCCAAGCGTTGCATATCCATTTGTTTTTGTTCCTCTAATTTGTGAGGTAGCTTTAAATCTTCAAAGATGTGAATTTGATGTAAACTCCGTTTTTTTGCTGAGATTGTTGGAAGTCATGACTTCTTACTCTGCATAAATTGAATCGTGGACTTTCCCATAGAAAGATTGAATTAGGTTCACAAATCTAAAGCACGCGCTACACTACTATCTGATACTTCTCTCAGAATGTTTGCTCATTCTTTAAACCAATTAACACTAAGAGAATGCTCTAGTAGTCTGGTGTCTGGCAGCCCGAATGAGAATATTGCCTGGCTAACTTGTGTCTCTGAACCACTTTAGGAGAACCTTCCTGTGTGCTTGCTTTCCAAACTACTAAATGCTAATTGGTACATCTATATTAATGTTTTATACTCCCCTGATGCTTTTCTTGCAGAGGTATTTGACCGAGGAATGTATGCTGGACCGGTGGGCTGGTTTGGAGGAGGAGAGAGTGAGTTTGCTGTTGGTATTAGGTCAGCTTTGGTTGGAAAGGTGATCCCCCCAAATTTTCTCTTTAATTAACTAGATGCATTTTCTTAAAGTGAAACTATTCTTCTGTTGCCCTGGATCCAAATGCTTCTTTGTTTTGGTTTATCTAGTGAAAATCAGTGCATCGTTGTCCCATTAATTAGTTGTGGGGAATTAACCTAAAATTTCAAATGCTTATGCTGGGTTTTAGGGCCTTGGTGCTTTAATTTATGCTGGGACTGGGATAGTGGAAGGAAGCAATCCATCTTCCGAGTGGGATGAACTGGAAATCAAGATATCTCAGGTATGCGATGCGTATGCTCTCCTGGTCTAGATGACTTTGTTGATGACTTTTAAAGTTTGACATGGTAGAAGAACGAGAACTTTCTGAGAGGTGATTTCCTAGCATCACTAAATTAATATTCCAAGAAAATCAGGATTTTCATATTTGTTTATACAGTTCATGAAATTGCTCAAACTTGAGGTGCCTTCAAGACAAGAGTTGATGACTTAGGTATCAGCATACTAAAGGTCAGTGACTGTAAGTTCTCCATTTCTTTTAGTTACTTCTTGAATCATATTTTTCAACTATAACTATGAAATTGCAATCAAGTTGGCAGTGTTCTTGATTCATAATAAGTGTATATTACAGTCCGAAGTGTTTTGAGAACCACCATTAGCAACCTCCTAACTAGGCATTTTGAGGTCTTGAAATGCTCCCAGCTGAACTGAGATGGGGCAATGACTGTCGTTGGCTCAAAACATGAGTTTATCATAGACTCAGCAACTTGGACAAAAGTACCTTCTCTTGTAAATGATTCACGTGTCTGTTTGTATATGTGAGGATTGATGTTCTTGCTATGTTGGTTACTTCATCACATGTATTCCAGTCTGTTTCCTAAACATTTTTTTAGTGAATAATGAATAGGGTTTGTTTCATGTTCTCTGTGACAACTGATGTACTGAAGATCACTAGATTTCAGATGCAGAGGTTATTGATACTCAGTTGTCCATGTTCTTTAGTTTTTGCTCTTCTACTTCTCCCCATCTTGTTGCCTCTTCAAGTGATTGATCTTGTACCTAGCTTTTCGAAAAACGATCCTCCCGGCTTGGGTCTTTGTTTGGTATCTTTACTCCCCACAGTAGGACATCTTGTTGCCACTTTTTGTCTACTCTCGGAAGCACTGCCAGTATAATGCTTCAGTCTTTTTTAAAGGATATCTTTCCAGAGGCAATGTTAAACAAAATATACCTACTGAAATAACTTCATTAAACCAGAAGATGACTGACCATATCTGCATTCGTCCAACATTTTTTTCCAATCATAGAGCAGAAGTAGTGACACCAATCTAGTGTACTTCTGAACCTGTATCTCCAACTTCTATTTAGGGAGAGGTTCTTGCTTTCTTTGTCGACGTTGTTTATGTGCACTTGTAAGTACATTGCTTTACTTGTTTCGGTCTTATGCAGATGAGAGCGCCTGCAAAGTGCATGAGTCTGGTTACTCATGTCACTAGCTCTGCTCAAATTGCATCCTTCTCATTCACATTTCCAGTTGGACTTCCAGATTCAGCAAAGAAGGTTCCATTTGATGTTAGGTCTTCCTTGGATCTCCGTACTACCACACACTTTCTGGTGCATAGTCCCTCTTGGTCACGCAAATAAGAGACGTAATCGGCATTCCAAATTTATTCATTTAGTATCGAGCATTTCGTTTGTGCAGAAAACTGGAATCAAATAAATGTGCAGGCATGCAGTGTCTGACATCGTCTTCATGTATGTGAATCATTTTTTCATTCTTAGTTGATTTCTCGGGGATGATTGAAGAAATAGTATTACAGCCTTGCAATCCGGAATTGGAGGGCAATGATCTGTTACCCAGGTAAAATACAAGGTCAGCTTCTATTCTAACTATGGAATGCAGGAGGCAATGGGTTTAGTCAATCATCGACTACAAGGATAGAACCCCTCTGGACCTAAGAAAGTCCTTAAAAGGCTTCATCTTGGTTCTTGTCTGGATCTCGGGATTACTGGGATTTTAAAACTTCTAGAGGGTATTCCCTCTTTCCAGGGAAGACAAAAGATACGGGGAGAACTTGGGGGCACAGGGCGTGCGGGATAGAAGGTCAGCTTCTATCCTAATAATGAAAGCTGGAGGCAATGAGTTAAGTCAATCATCGACCACAAGAGTAGAACCCCTCACACCTTGGCATCGTCCGGACCAGTCCCTGGCCAATGCGTTTGGAAGCTTCATTTAATTGTTAGGTTGCATCGTAGGAGTGTCTGTTGCTACCTTCAAAGTCGGATGACCTGCATACTCCATTTGTCAGTTCAACATGGATCTGAGAAAACAATTTGAATCCGTATTCCACGAGTCCAGATTTCCCCCCATCTTTCTAGGCAATTTTACACTGGAAGCGTGAATATTGTCATGTCAAGCATGGATGGGGCTTGTGAACCAAGCATTCTCATACCCCATCATACCCGACTAGATGCTTGCTCTCTTTTATTCGGAAAGACTATACTTTCTCAATTCCCTTCCTAGTTGGTTTACTTTTTCATTCAGCCGCGTTGAACTTGAAGCTGCTGGTTTTCGTAATCCTGACAGTTCCAAAAAGGACCGAAGTCGAGTACACATGTTAAAGATGGTCGAGCGAGTGCCTGCCCAATCAGCTCGATGCCATCGATTTTCCCAGAAAGAATGCTCTTTTGCATCTAGAATAAGGTGGACTGAAGGCTTCAAACTGAATGCAAGTGCACGAACGCTATCCACTTCTAGACCTTCCGAAACATGCCATTGGTGGCCAAATATTCTCAAACCCGGGCCTTTTGCAAGACTTCTCATCCACAGGTCACCAAGCATATGAGGTTCAAAAAGGAGTGGGAAAAAGGGCCGAAGAAGAGAGAGAAGGGGGGCGGCGGGAAGCATATGTTCCAAAATCCACTTTGATGTAAGAGGGATCTGATTCCATAAAGGCCGCTGAAGGAAAAGAGACTTGTCCGACCCCGTGACGCGTCTCCGAAGCGGGAAGGAGAAGCTTCTTGGGGATCTGTGCCCCCCAAAAGCTTCGATTTCGAGATCAATATGGTCCCATTCGCGATGCGAGAGCGATAGAGAAAGAGACGTACTCGATCCATCCATGGATAAGCGAGGATAGGAGCAGTAAAGGCTTGTATTTCCGAGAGGCCAAGCATGCGCAGGCACGAGTGAAGCTTCCTTTCTCCTAGCGCTAAGCTCCCTCCAGAAATGAAGAACCCACCCTTTTCAAATCCTTCCCTTTGCTTCGATTCTCTTGGGATGCCAATCCTTTCATTCGAATATTCCAAATATCATTAAGAAGAAGTGGGCCAACGGTCCCGATTTGACGGTGGTAATGCCCCCAAAAGAAGGAAGGCTGGTGAAAATGTTGTCTTGTATTGTGCCAGCGGAAAAGCCGCAGGACACTCTTAGGATTTCGAGGATCATCCGAAGCCAGTTCGGGTGGGAAATTCCTACGGGGCGACCCGTATCAGTGTCATTGAGTCGCCGCCGTTGCTTTTACCGTTCGGGGCGGGGATCGGACGAAGGGTTCACGGCGTAACAGGTTCGGTCCGACGGTTAATGTAAGCGACCGAACGGCTAAGCCGCGGAATCGTAAAAACCCTCATCCGAACATAAGGTGCTCGGCCAAAAAAAAGGAGAGGGCCCAAGAGAGATAAAGGTGGATGCTTTTGAAGTGGAAGCAAGGGAGCTTTAATTCGAAAGACGTTGGAGCTTTTGACGAAAAGGAGGGTGGGCAAGCTATTATAAGTCGCTGTGGAATCATGTGCCCTTTGCCCGTGCCAGGACTCCCGAGCATCTCGTTCTGTGCTCATTTGCGGTATGACTGGGTAATGTCGCGTATCCCGTACGTGTATTCCCCCCCGTCATATTATTGTATTTAATGCCCATGTATACTAAAAAAAAAATCGACCGATAAACTCGACCCACTTTTCAAAACGACTCGTTCCAGGTACACGTCGCGTCACTCGGTATACCGGATTCTATGTGCTCGGGTCGGCATATCTAACGGTACGAGCGTTCCCGTGTTCGCGCGCGCATCGATTCTGATCCCGCCGGCCTTCTCGTTCGCACGGCGCTAAATGAAAATGACCCCGCGTGCCGGGAAAATCGCGAGACATCTCTTGGGTGCGGTATTGGGCTCGGATTTGCCCTCTCGTCATGCGCGCATTGCACGATCTATAATCCCGCGATGACTATCCATGGTAATTAATGATTACCAACTATCATTTTAAGTCGGAGTATCTCTGCATCGTCTGTCCATGAGGTTCATATGCGCTTCCTAAATACGCGTCCCCTCTATCCGTTAACTTAAAGCTTTCGGGGCCGGACATCTCAAAAAAATACTGCCCCGATTTTTGTCGCGGGTAAGTTTCTGGATCGGACGTCCTAACATTCTTGGAATGTATTAAGATGCAATCTGGTCCAGGACAATCATCCGAATTGACAAAAAAAACAACATGGGATTAGCAGAAAATCTATGTTAGGGCAGGGGGGTTGGGGGGGGGGCAGCTCAAAGACAGATCCTGGAGTGTCGGGGGTCGTCAGAACACTCTCCGAAACCACAGGGTGGGGGAGGGGAAGGTATCGAATATATTAAACCCCCCCTCCTCCATTTTTACATTTAATCCGTCATTAAAATAATATTCTCTTAATTTATTAATTAATTGATTTATAACAAATAAATAAATAAATAAATAAATAAATAAGACGAGGAGGAGAATAAACAAAAGGAAAGTAGCCGAACAAACAGGCTTCTTCCTTCAGTTTGGAATCTCTCGAGCTCACTCCACTCCACCCCCTCCCTCTCCAGCCCACAAACATTCCCCAACCGTACCCAAAAACAACAATTTAAAAAATAATAATCAATTAATTAAAATAACAAAAAAAACTGATAGAAATAAGGGTTAATAACAAAAAAAAAAAACCAAACCGATATATCCGTGATAAATTTACCAAAAATTATTTTTTTTATCGCAGAAAACCCAAAACTGGTGGACGCGTGATAATTTTACCCCGAACTAATTTTTTGACCACAAAAAACTCCCAAACTAATACACCTGTGACAATTTTATCTCCGAGCTAATTTTTCGACCACAAAAAAACCCAAAACCGGTACACCTGTGATAATTTTACCCACAGTTAGTTTCCGTTAAATTTTACTGTCAAATTACTAAGTTTAATCACATGTGCTAATTGACAGAGGTACCGGTTTTGGGTTTTACCCATCTATTTGTCACAAGTTTATCAATTTGTGATTTTTCGTGATATTAATCCAATTTAACGGACACTAACGAGCGGTAAATTTTTTTCATACATATACCAGTTTGGGGTTTTTACCGGTTAAAAAATTAGTTTTGGCAAAAACTGTCATAGGTGTACCGCTTTGGGGTTTTTTGTGATAAAAAAATTAGTTTGGAGTAAAATTATCACACGTGTACCAGTTTAGGATTTTTGGTGGTCAAAAAAAAAGTTCGGGATGAATTTGTCACGGGTGTATCAGTTTGAGATATTTTATTGTCAAAAAATTAGTTCGGGGTAAAATAATCAACATGTGTACCGGTTTGGGATTTTTCGTTATATATCCTTAAAAATAAATCAAAATTCGCGAAGAAAATTAAGATCACAAGGAGAAAGATTTCCAAAAAGCTTTTTACCCCATAAAGAAAGAGCCAAACCCCTCCACCCTTCTCCTCCGCCATCAGCGCTCCCTTCTCCTCCTCTTCTTCCTTCTTCTTCTTCTTCATCATCTTCGACCCAACCCCTCGGAGCCCCACGACGATGGCACCATGACGACAACGACGACGCCGACGCCGACGCCGACGCCGCCGCCGCCCCAGACCGTGCGGAAGCTCCTCGTCGAGGTCGTGGACGCGCGGGACCTCCTCCCCAAGGACGGCCAGGGCAGCTCCAGCCCTTACGTCATCGTGGAGTTCGACCACCAGAAGAGGCGCACCTCCACCCGGTACCGCGACCTCAACCCGGCATGGCACGAGGCCCTCGAGTTCGTCGTCTCCGACCCGGAGAGCATGGAGTACGAGGAGCTCGACGTCGAGGTGTTCAACGACAAGAAGTTCGCCGCCGGCGGCGGGGCCCGGAAGAACCACTTCCTCGGCCGGGTCAAGCTCTACGGCACCCAGTTCGCGAAGCGCGGGGAGGGGGGCCTGGTGTACTTCCAGCTGGAGAAGAAGAGCGTGTTCAGCTGGATACGCGGCGAGATTGGGCTGAGGATCTGCTACTACGACGAGCTGGTGGAGGAGCAACCGCCGCCGCCGCCGCAGGAAGAGGAGGAGCCGCCGCCTCCCCCCGGGGAGCCCGCCGAGGGCGCGCCGCCGCCGGTGATGGTGGTGGAGGAGGGAAGGGTCTTTGAAATGCCGCCGGGGGCCGTCGCGGTGGAGTGCTGCCACCCGCCGCGGCGCCGCGACCGGTCGCCCTCCCCTCCCGTGGTCGTCATCGAGGAGTCGCCGCCGCCGCCGCCCCAGGCGGTGCACCTGCGCCACGAGCCCCCGCCCGAGGCGATGCCGCCGGCGGCGCAGACGCACCACGCGGCGGCAGGCCCCCCGGTGGCGGAGGCGGCGATGCAGTACCCTACGCCGGAGGTGCGGAGGATGCAGGGTGCGAGGGTCGGCGAGAGGGTCAGGGTCCTGCGGCGGCCCCCGAGCGGCGACTTCTCGCCGAGGGTGATATCGTCGCACCACCAGAGATTCGCGTCGGAGACGGAGAGGATCCATCCGTACGATCTGGTGGAGCCAATGCAGTACCTGTTCATCAGGATCGTCAAGGCGCGAGGCCTCGCCCGCAACGAGAGCCCCTACGTGAAGGTCCGCACGTCCACCCACTACGTCCGCTCGAAGTCGGCGGTCCACCGTCCCTGCGAGCCGACCGACTCGCCGGAGTGGCACCAGGTCTTCGCGCTCGGCCACAACAAGCCCGAGTCGGCGAGCTCCACGCTGGAGATCTCCGTCTGGGACTCCCCGTCGGAGAGCTTCCTCGGCGGCGTCTGCTTCGATCTCTCCGACGTGCCGGTCCGCGACCCGCCCGACAGCCCGCTTGCCCCGCAGTGGTACCGCCTCGAGGGCAGCGACGCGGCGGAGAAGAGCCGCGTCTCCGGTGACGTCCAGCTCTCCGTCTGGATTGGCACCCAGGCCGACGACGCGTTCCCCGAGGCGTGGAGCTCCGACGCGCCGCACGTGGCCCACACGCGCTCCAAGGTGTACCAGTCTCCGAAGCTGTGGTACCTGCGGGTGACGGTGATCGAAGCTCAGGACCTCCACATCGCTCCGAATCTGCCGCCGTTGACGGCGCCGGAGGTCAGGGTCAAGGCGCAGCTGGGGTTCCAGTCGGTGCGGACGCGGCGTGGGTCCATGAGCAACCACGCGCCGTCGTTCCACTGGAACGAGGACCTCGTACTCGTCGCCGGCGAGCCACTGGAGGACTCGCTCATTTTGCTGGTGGAGGACCGTTCGAGCAAGGAGACTCTGCTCCTCGGGCACATTCTGATTCCGGTTAGCTCCATCGAGCAGCGAATAGACGAGAGGCACGTGGCCGCCAAGTGGTTCGCGCTCGAGGGCGGGGGCGGGGGCGGGGGCGGGGGCGGGGGCGGCAGTGGCTGCGGCGGCGGAGGCAGGCCTTACTGCGGCAGATTGTATCTGAGGCTGTGCTTGGAAGGCGGTTATCACGTGCTTGATGAGGCCGCGCACGTGTGCAGCGACTTCCGGCCCACGGCGAAGCAGCTGTGGAAGCCGGCGGTCGGGATTCTGGAGCTGGGTATCCTCGGCGCCCGGGGGCTTTTGCCCATGAAGTCGAAAGGCCCCGGTAAAGGGTCCACGGACGCGTACTGCGTGGCCAAGTATGGCAAGAAGTGGGTTCGGACCCGGACCATCACGGACAGCTTCGACCCGCGGTGGAACGAGCAGTACACGTGGCAGGTCTATGACCCGTGCACTGTGCTCACCGCCGGGGTCTTCGACAACTGGCGGATGTTTGCCGAACCGTCCGACGACAAGCCAGATTGCCGCATTGGGAAGATCTGTATTCGGGTATCCACATTGGAGAGTAACAAGGTGTATACCAATTCGTATCCGCTGTTAGTGTTGACAAGAACCGGGTTGAGGAAAATGGGCGAGATCGAATTGGCGATCCGGTTCGCTTGCCCATCTTTGTTGCCGGATACTTGCATGGTCTATGGTCAGCCCTTGTTGCCGCGGATGCACTATCTCCGCCCGCTCGGGGTGGCCCAACAGGAGGCGCTTCGAGGGGCCGCCACCAAGATGGTAGCTGCGTGGCTTGCGCGGTCGGAGCCACCGCTCGGGCCGGAAGTGGTCAGGTACATGTTGGATGCTGATTCGCATACATGGAGCATGAGAAAGAGCAAGGCGAACTGGTTCAGGATCGTGGCCGTGCTGGCATGGGCGATTGGGCTGGCGAAATGGTTGGACGACATCAGGAGGTGGCGGAACCCGGTCACGACTGTCCTAGTCCATGTCCTGTACCTGGTGCTCGTGTGGTACCCGGATTTGATCGTGCCCACCGGGTTCTTATACGTGTTCTTGATTGGGGTGTGGTACTATAGATTCAGGCCGAGGATACCGGCCGGGATGGACACTAAGCTCTCGCAGGCCGAGTCGGTAGACCCGGATGAATTGGATGAGGAATTCGACACGATACCGAGCTCGAAGCCGCCGGACATCATCCGGGCCAGATACGATCGGTTACGACTGCTGGCGGCCCGGGTCCAGACGGTCCTGGGCGATTTCGCGACCCAAGGAGAGAGGGTCCAAGCCTTGGTGAGCTGGAGGGACCCGAGAGCGACGAAGCTGTTCATAGGAGTGTGCCTCGCCATCACGCTGACACTGTACACGGTGCCGCCGAAAATGGTGGCGGTGGCCCTAGGTTTCTACTACCTCCGCCACCCGATGTTCAGGGACCCGATGCCGCCGGCGAGCCTCAACTTTTTCCGGAGACTCCCGAGTCTCTCCGATCGGCTAATGTAGATTTAGAGTCTTGGAAAAAAAAAAAGAAAAAGACACTTCGGTAGAAATTAGTCCTATGGTATTTTTTTGGAGGGGGAGGGGCCAAGATTTTTATGGGGAGGGAAGAGACAAAGGGGCACTGTTTTCACGTTGAAAAAGTTGTCCTAGAATAACGCTGTAAGAGAGGAAAAGGGTGGGGAGTTGAATGATGTTCTTTTTTTTGTGGGTTGTGTACCAATTGATTGACTAACCTATTCAAAGGGCTTTGAAATAAGAGAAAGGAGGGGGAGAGAGGCAGTGAAAATAGGGGTGTTGTTGGGAAAAAAAAAAACAAAACATATTGGATTGAGTGTTTCTTTCTCTTTTATAAAATTTTTCATCAGAATGAAGGGACAGACATTTTGAAAAAAGCCAGTGCGGTTTTGCTGTCATGAAAAGGTGTAACCCACCATTGAGATGGTTTCTGACATTGTTGAATGGAAAAGAGATCGCCTTCTCCAGTTCCCATTTTCACATTTCACTTGGTTCATTCGAGACTATTGAGGCCATGTAGTGCTGCAGCTTATCTCCTTTCCCACTGTGCTTGGCCATGTTTGTTTTTGTTTAATGTGTATCCGCACGCGTGCGCAGGAGAGAGAGAGAGATCCGCGCCTCGGGGTTAAGGCAATGCTGGATTGAGGGGCTCGGCGAGGGCCACCGTCTCCCTCCTCGTAGTTGCTTGATAGTTGGGCGTAATTTTAGTTTCGAGTCTCGTAAAATATAATATTTTGTAGCCGGCTTTTGATTTATGTGTCGGAATTTTTTTTGACATTGCCACCCTAGTTTAAGTTCTCGCATTCGTCGCTGCGCCGTGGTGCGCCTTGCCAGTGTTCTTGAGGATTCCTCGGATGTTTCCTGGCCTTAAAAAGAAACATGAATTTTGTGGCATCCCTTAAGGCTGATGTCCTGAGCCAGTCAAACACAACGCATTCTAAAAATTGTACAGGTAGTGCTAGTTTTTATCCCTGTACTAGTGGAGCATCACATTTCTCGAGAAAGCAGCTTCATCCCTGGCCTCGCCCTCTAATTCATGCCCCTCTTTTTGCTCCATTTTTTTAGCTTGAATCTTGGGCTTGGAACAGCAAAAGTTAACTCCTTGATCTCTATAAATAATTCGGAGTTTAAAGAGAAATTTCAACTTTCACATCCCCAAAGAAGATCCAAAGCCGTCCAGACTTAAGGTTGGTTAATCTCTCTCTCTCTCTCTGTCTCTCTCTCTCTCTCTCTGGGTGAAAAATCTTGCCTTTCTTTTTATATCTACTGTAATGATAACAGAATCATTTGGAGGATATACCTAGTTCTCTGATATATGATGCATCAACCCAGCAACAAATTCAACTAAAATGAGGAAAAACCTGACTGAACCTTCATCTGATGCACGTCTCTGTTTGCTGGGCCCTTTCACTCTCATCAATTTTCGTGGTTTTGTCCTTCTACTAGGTTAGCAACAATCCCCTACATCGCATAACATATATTTGGAGAGCGACATGGGTGAAACGGCACAAGAAAAGAGTGAGAAGAAGGACAAGCACCCGAAGGAGGACAAGCACAAGGATGCTGAACATGCAAAAGAGGAGAAAAAGGAGGATAAATCCAAGGACAAGAAAAAGAAGGACAAGGAGTGTAAGAAGGAAAAGAACCCTGAAGACAAGAAAGACCCACAAAAGCTGAGGCAGAAGCTCGAGAAGGTTGACGCCAAGATGCAGGCTCTGGTGGCGAAGCGTGAAGAGATTCTGAAGTCGATTCAGGAAGCCGAGCAGAAGGCCAAGGTTTCTGGCGGGGAAGCCGCGCCGGCCGCCACCTCTTAAGGCTCATGTCAAGGCCAGATGGAGACGCTGATGCATAAGATGTACAGAACTTGATTGAGAGGAAGGACAAAATACCTGTATAATTAGGGATAGAAATCTTGGAGCATAAAAACTTAGATGATGCACCTATGAATGGTATAGTTAATTATGTGGCGTACATGTCTCAAAGAGTAGCATTGCCACAACATAATAAATAGTCACGACGTTGATTTTAATTCCTAAATTGTAACTGCTTATCGTGTGATCGCACTTATATAATAATTTGCACACGTTTATCATTATTGTATCAACAGAGGCAGGGTAAAAAACAATGCGCTGTGACATACCGCTTTTCAGTGCTGCCGAACTCTTTGTCACTGATCAGCCAAATTCCTCAACATCTCCATGCCCCGGTTCCATTGAAGAAGTTGCGAATTCCAACATCGCACAAGTACCATAGTCTGGCCTAATTTCCTCAAGAAGTACAAGCAAACTAAAGTGAAAAGGAGTTCTTGGAAGCTTCATATTGTCCGGAACAGATCATAAAGTACAGTAAGGAAACTTCCTTGTTGGCCCCTTCTCTCTTGGGGCCAATACATATATCTGGCCAAGTATTCATGCCATCAGTCAACTAACATCAACTATAGCACCTTATATCCCACTCTGTTACAATGAGCAATTGCCCGGGTTTATACATCAACATTGGCAAAGAGGCCAGAGGTTCATATGCTATCATCTCCCCTTCTTCAAATTTTTTTGTAGTGTTTTGCTAATTATAAGAGCATCCTTTACATGTCTAGGCGTGTATCTTTTCATTGCGTGTTCTCTTTTTTTGGCAATGTTGTCAGATCTTCTTTACAAGGGTTATGGCCAACACCCTCCAGTTCATTTTCACCAACAATTTATCGACCTGAACTGTGACTTGAGTTGTGATCTCTCCTGTCGAAGTAATTCCCTCCTTCTATGAATCTAATTTTCACTGATGTTTTCACGGAGTGAGATGTTCTGTAACTAGGCATGTTCCATTTTCAGAAAGGGAGCAGCTCTTTTTTCAAACACACTGAGAATGATATAGTAAACCAGTTTATATGACTCAGTTGGATGATACTGCAATGTCATCTTGATGTTCTAATTAATGGAAGTTAGTGAAACTTTACAACAATTGAAAAACAAAAACTTTCCATATGTCATAAAGCTATTGAAGCATGTGTATCTTCACTCATCTCTTGACATTTCCTCGACATATTTCACTTTATTGTCGCAAGCATCTTCGTTCATCCCTCAGGAATCTCAATTAACAAATATATAACATTTGTTTTCGAACATAGTCCAGATCTAAATTGTCTACCAACTTATAAATTACTATTTCCATCCTGATTGTAACAGTTGAAGAAATCATACCCGGTTTAGGAACGGCTTTCAAACTCATTGCTCCTTACACTGGCAAAGTAAGAGCTTTCAGTCAGTTTCTCACCAAGTTTGATCTTTTCCGTTCTCACTACTTTCGATATCAATGCCTAGCATTTGCAAGAATCGAAGTATCCCATTAGGTTTCCACCCACATCTCAGCACGATTGGTTCACTCTTGCATTGTATATGCGGTGACAGGTGGAACTGCAATACTTACATGACTATGCTGCGATTACAGCAGGCACCGGTGTAATAGCAAATGCTTTCAGAGGATATGACCCGTTGATAAGCTTTTCCGGGGTGGTAGGAAGCACTCTTGTTTCTCTTGGCACCGATATAGTGTTCGACATATCAGCAAGAGCATTTAACAGAATTGATGCCGGTCTAAGCCTCAGATTCCCTGCCCTTGTAGCTTCCTTGAACCTGTGAGCAATCTTAATTAAAATTTTCTGGAAAAGGAAAATAGTCACGATTTCTATAAGCTAAATTATTAGTAATCTAAATAGCGAAGTTGCCAAATATGCAGAAATGACAAGCTAGACACACTGAGAGCTTCATGTTACCACACGGTGAATCCCCTGACTCAAACTGCGGTCGCAGCTGAACTGAAACACAGCTTTTCGATCAGTGACACGAGCATCACCATGGGAACGCAGCAGGCAATATTCACTTCTACATTAGTGAAGGCTCGAGTAAGCACGAAAGGTAAAGTGAGTGCTCTTATTCAGCAACAGTTCTTGCAAAAGCTCTGTTTGAGCATTGCCGGAGAGGTGGACATTAGCCGAAATTCCTTAAGCTGGATACCGAAGATAGGACTGACTGTTGCACTGAGGCCATAGAGTAGGGAAACGAAAGAGAACAGCACCCACTTGCTTCCAGCTCAGAACTGGCTATAGTCAAATACTTACATCTACTTGCTTCCCTGCTAGTGCTACCTATGGCGAGGCAAATCAAGCAATCCTCAGAGATCTTTATGAATTTGTATCAGATTAACAAGTTATATACTGGGAAATGAGATTCTATCACTACCATAGCCAAGTGCAATCTGAATGGGTCCCTAAGATGCTTCCTCTCTAGAGGAAAAAGTTCTTTTCCCTTTTCTCCCGTTTCTTTTTATGTGCGGATCAAGAGTTGTTTGGATGGCACGCATGCATCCTGGAGATGATGGTAGCGTGCTGGATTAATTGAATGACAAATTTCAACCGTCTTTATGCACCAGAATACCAGTCAAATGAGGAAATAAAAGCTGCAAAACTGTAACCATTTTTAGACACACTATCCCTAATTATAGCAAATCCGAGATGAATGTTCAAACAAGCAACTTTCAACAGTATCTCTGTGCAGAAGCACGAAGACTATGTTTTAGGAACACCTTCAACATTCATATAAACGGTGCTTGAATCATCACTCCACAAGGTCAAACAAAACGGACATTCAGAAGATATCATCAGCAAATGCACATGAAAATATTTACATAGAAAGCCAAAGCATGCTTCTCGCCTTCCTATTTCAAGCTTCGTCTTCATTTCTAGTAGACTCTGATGGCAACTAGCTGACGGAGGAAGCTTGAAGAAGTCCCTCACGAATCTGAGAGGCAACATCGCGAACAGCACCCGGACCATGGGGAATGAACACAGCAGAGGATTTAGATGCAGCACCAATTTCCTTCATGGTGTCGAAGTACTGGGTGACGAGAACCATATCCATGACATCCTTGGCACTGGTCCCGGGCACATTTTCTGAGAAGCCCAGTACGCAATCTCTCAAGCCATCCACAATCGCCTGACGCTGGCGGGCGATACCAAGCCCAGCAAGGTACTTTGACTCAGCCTCACCTTCAGCTCTCTTGATTTGCAGAATCTTCCCTGCTTCAGCCTTCTCATTAGCTGCTACCCTTAGTCTTGCAGCTGAGAAGCAAAATATCATATGACGGCATTCAGATACTTGAGAATATTCAAAATTTGTACAAGACGTTGCATATGGCTAAGCTGGGATACAAATTAAGAGAAAATACAAACGTCTACACAGTTTCATTATATGTTAACTGGAAGAGCTGCCTTAAGTGCTTTAAATATGCTTCATTACTGGAAAGACAAGTACTCGCTGCCGTATAGAAGAACGAGATCAATTATCAATGATTAATAAAAATCTTCTGAATCTTAGCCTCTTAAAACAATTTAGTGCATCTTCTAAAATCTAGTAGATGTTGATCCAAATGCTTGAAGAAAGAGATGCAAAAGCAGAAAAGCACCTTCCCGAAGACAAACAAAGATTCCATAATCAATTTTTTGTAAGGACCACAAAATGTGCAGAAAAGTATGAGATCTCCTAATGTTTGTGATTCTTACCAGCATTAATCTCATTCATAGCTCGCTTTACATGCACATCCGGTTCAATGTCAACAATCAGCGTTTGCACAATCTCATACCCATATGTAGACATAGCCTATAAAAGTCAATGGCTAGAAGTTAAACCAAGTGAAGCCCATGGTTCATTTTCACAAAATCACAAACAACCATGCTTCTGCATCTGTCAATTACCTTCTCAAGTTCATCCTCAACTGCTTTGGCTATTTCATTTTTCTGCTCAAAAACATCATCCAAATTGAGTCTTGGAACACTTGCTCTTATCACTAGTCAATCAAAGGAAAAGTAAGGGATATTACAAATCATAGTGATTATACATGCATCAATAATGTCACATTTGGAACATACCGTCAAACACATAGGCTTGAATTTGACCCTCCGTGTTACTAAGTTTGTAAAAGGCATCAATTGCCTGATTTGCAAGAGCACGATATTGCACAGATGCAACAACATTAACAAAGACATTGTCCTGCAGTGGGAATGTCCATGAAGCCAAACAAACTTTTTAGGTAACTCCGTGAAGATGAAACTGACATGGAGCTTTAAGCTTTATATGAAAATCACCGAGTTCAAAGTATCTCCAAAAGAAGAGGCACTAATCCATGATACTGCAATCTAGTGGAGTCTATTAGGCTGCTAGCAATCTCATAAGAACTACTAAAACTAAGCTATTTTCATAATCGTGGTCGTAGACTCAGCCTTACTCAGGGATTCAACGAGTATTAAATTAGCAGCAGTGCTTATTGATTATTTGCAAATATCGCATGCAGAAAAAGATGATTTCACTTCTAAGCCAGACAGTGATTCGGTCGAATGTGCAATTCATGATTTCTAGACAGGTGATGTGAAATTCTCACGCAGAGTGAACAGATAGACATACTTTTGTCTTGGTTTCACATCGCACGTCCAACTGCTGCACTCGAAGTGAGAGATGTCCCACTAGCCGGCTTCCAATAATCCAGGGAAGGCAATGGCATCCCGGTTGAAGTACGTCATCGTACTTGCCAAATCTCTCCTTGATAGCTACGGTGGATTGATCAACTTGGACGCAGCAAAACAGATTGCCCATGTTATCTCCACACTATTCATCAATAAGAGGAGAGTTGAGATCATTGAGTTGTTGGCAGAGAAAAAATGAAAACAAATAATGGTTCTCAGAAATCAATATGTGACACAAGAACCTTAAAAGCAGGGGGAATTCTATCAAAAGCAACAGTATCTTCTACAGCATAAACTCGAGCAACCGTGAATTTGACTACGAAGTTTTTTCTTATCTACTCATCAACTTCCAGAGCAAATTTCTGTGGTTCCCTATGAGTACTCGTACCGACCTGGTCTATGTTGATCTACACTAGAGCAAGCCTAAATTGAATTCAAATTCTACAGCAAGATACTCAAACAGGAATGAAACTTGGAACCAACGAATTGATGCTATCTCGTAGCGAATTGTAAAGAACACAAACAACAAACAGAAAGGCGTAAGAGAACCACCAACACACCCTCAAGTATCAAATTTCTTGATCTTCCTTTTCCTCAAAGAACTAGAGGATGGTATACAGTGTAAACCTATTTATCAAACGAGAGAGAGACTATGGATGCAATAGGTGCTGGAGCATACACTAAAGAATGTTTGTAGTAAGATAAGAATGACAAGAATTGAATTTATAGAGAAGAAAAAGTTTGCAACTGAGGACAACAAGAAACAAGAAACCAACCAGCGCCTAGGAGAAGGCGTACGGGTGGACGCACATTCGAGAAAGAGAGCGCTGGCTTTGATACTGTCCAATCCAAAAACTTGTATATCTCAAGTTTGCGCTTGCATCTCCTTTTGATTGTACATATATTAATTAATATAGGTTACATAGTCATCTTATAAAACTTATAAATAGGCTGATACACTCTTCATTACGATGTATCGAATTATATAAATAATCCTCAAATCTGATCAAAATTATTATTCTTAAGCTTTTAGTACCCGTTGTCAACCCAAGACAATACTCTCCATTGTTTCTCTTCGTTCATCGAGGTTCAACACCGACAACGCAGCGGGAATACAGCACAAATCGAAAGAAAATGAAAAGGACAACATCGGCAAGGATAAGATGCTGCCGCTTTCCGAAACGTACCAAAATATTTAGTAAAAAAAATGACGATGACGATGACGATGATAACAAGAACTGCCTGTTTTCTATTCCTGGGGATGGAGTAGTTCTCAAGGTTTCATCTTGATATCACCAGAACTGACCTGGAAATGATACGTCACAAAACGAGAAGAAACCAAACGACTTGGTCGGATCGCGACCGGGACCAGCCGACCTTTCACTTGAGCTGTTTCTTGTTCTTTATAAGCTCGACGAGGAAGATGAAATCCATGCACTTTAGTGTTCTGTTGCCCATAAGGAAAAATTTTCTCATTTTTAGTCCTTCAAATTTGTGTTAATCTTTTCAATATGATCCTCGATTTTGTAATTTATACAATCAAAGTCTTGGACATATGAAATATTTTCAATCAAGTCTCTCCGTCACCAGCTTCAGCAAATTGAAACTGATGGTTTGATCAGTGCTAGTTAGGAGTCCTACGTTAAATTAGGACATCCTGTGGGAGGTCGAAAAAAAAAATATTTAGAAATTTGCGTGGTTGTATATCAAATTACTTTTTCTCGTATAGGTCCGATGCAAATTGATTATCCTTAGCGTAGCGATTTCTTTTTTAACTCTGTACTCTTTATTTGGCATCGACGCACATCAATTTGTCAAAATATGAGATCTGGTAACTTGATTGGAAAAACTCTTAACTCTATAAGTATAAAGACTTCATTGCATGAATTACAAATTTAAGGATCACACTAGAATATCAATGCAAAATTAGGGACGGAATATGTACGTTCTTTCACTCGTGAGACAAAAAAATCGACTTGGTTTCCAAGTTGGTAAAATAAAAGATTGTAATCCGTTCATTAGTTCGACGTCAATAGTGTTAGAGATAATTAGAGACCTCTCTAGAATAATTTCCTATGATAGAGATATTTGATAATTATGCTGATTCTCTGTATCTTTCAAGATGCGGCGTATATCTGCCTTTAATTGTGCATATCTTAGTTGATACAGTTATCTCATAAAAATAGGTTGATGTATTATTCATTATAATACATCGAAATATACACAAATTCCTCAAATCTATCTTTCTTATCATTGTTTTTAATTGGGATTAGAGTCACTGTCCACCCTTCATTAGTCAACTTTCACGTACCGCATGTAATCCGACTTGTGCATGAGAGGTGTGTTGAAATATTGTCTCACATCTCTTATTAACGAGTTGCTCTTTATATTCATGTCCCTTCACCTATTAATTTAAACTTTTAGGTTGAACTTTCTAACAAACGGCATGTCAATTCTATATGAGTTCTAAAAAGAAAATTGGCATATTTTAGAGAAAAATATCGTGATAATCATCTTCCATGTTCTCATTCGAGCTCACTTTATGCCCAGATTGAACATTGATACTCTACCTTCTAATTGCTATATATTGAATATAAATAATTTCATATCTTAGTCGAGTAAAAAATATGAAATATTTACACTTTACCCTCGGACATTGCTTTCACTTTCATAAATTAATATTTATGGAGAGAATAATACAACTAAATAAATAAAAGAAG